CATTATTTATAAAATATAAATAAAAAATTTATTGAGACAAATGAAAAGCAGTTATGTATTAAATACTTAGAAGGAGATAATTTTTTTGTCTATAATAATTTTATTTGGTTAAAATAATATTATTTTTAATGAATTATACATATAGCCTTTTTTTAAAAACAGAAAAGAAAAAATTATTAGCAAAAAAAGAAAAAAAGAAAAAAAGTATAGAAAGACAAACTAAAGAATATATAAATTATACATATAGTCTACAAAAAATATTTATATCTATAAATTTATATTTATACAATATTCTAAAAATGCGCATTACTTTTTTTCAAAAATACTAATAACTTTAAATGGTTAAGCTAATGTCATATATTAAATTAATAAATATATCACTTATATGAATAATGAGTATGGATCTGGTTAACACAATTTCACATTAAAAACATATATAAAAAGAATTTTAGATTAAATTATTTAAAAATGAATATCTGTTTCTTAAAATTTAGGAAAAAATATTAATAGTTGTTTTTTATTAATAGAATCAAAATGACTATTTGTATATTATTATAAATAACTATAAAACAATTTTTCTTTGTGAGAAATTACATATAAAGAATGAAAGTAAATGTCATTTTTATGACATTTATTTTAAAAATTTATAATCTATAATATATATTTACAACTTTATAGTAGAGAATTTTTGGTGCACTATACAAGTTTTATTATAACAAAATATTTTTTAACGAAAAAATTATTTGTTTTTTAAATTTAATAATTTTTGAAACACATATTTTTAATTTAATAATTAATAACAATAAATATTCTATTATATGAAATAAAATTAAATCAACAGATGATTCTTTGCATCAAAAAACAAATTATGAAAATTTCATCATTTAAATTACTATTTAATTCAAAAATAGGTGCTTATTATTACAAAAATAAAATAAAATCTCTGTGCTAGTAAAATAGACTAACCCTTAAAAGCATATCTGTTAAAAAAGTTAGTCAAAACGGTTTCATTCAAAAATTTATATTCATAAATTATATAAAAATAGAATTAAACTTTAACAATAGACACTCTATTATATAAAAATAAAATTAAATAAAAAATAAATTTGAAATTTGAAAATACATTATAAAAAATACAAACTTAAAATTATATTAAATTAACACAGATAAAAATACTCATGCTTGAGAAAATTTTTAAGAATGTTCCCATTTAAGAATTACTACGTATTATATAGAGTTTGATTTTTCATGCATTGTACAATAATATTAATTATTAAATAAAAATATATTGGAAGACAATTTTTAAATTTAATAACTTTATAAATTTAGAATATGTAGCAAACATTAATAATTAATATTCAATAATAATAAATTAAATAAAATAAAAATATAATTTTTTATTAAAAAATTATGAAAATTCAAAATTTAAATTTATTATTGTTTGACATGATAGGTACGTTTAATAATTATTTCACATTCTCTTTAAAGAAATAAAGAAATATTATATGCATGTATTTGGATTATATTGAAAAAATATATATAGCATTAAAAGATTAAATTATTAATTTATATATTAAGTGAATGAATATATCTATTACATGATTATGGATAAATAAATGTATAAAAATAATTTCAAAATAGATGTATTTAAAAATGAGTATTCTTTTGTAATTTTAAAAATATTATTATTTATTTTTAAAAATAAAATATTTTATTTCATTATAAATAACTATAAAATGACTTTTGTCAAACATTTAAAATATTTTTGTTGGAATATTTTATTTTAAAACTATTTATGAGACGTTACCTATAAAAAAAATAACGTGAATGTGTGTGTGACTTTATAGTAGTAAAATTTTGTGCATTATATATATATATATATATATAAATCATTCAAAAATAGAAAATATATTATATGCTTTTTGAATTTTATAAATTTCAAAAGAACAAATATTTTTTAACAACTAATAACAATAAATATTTCATTATATGAAATCAAATTAGGTAAAGAGATAAATTTTTACATTAAAAGAATTATGAAAAATTTACAATTTAAGTTAGTATTGAATTTAAAAAAATTGAAGTTTAAATAGTAAAAAATCACTTTCGTGGTGACAAAAAGGACTAACCCTAAAAAGCATCTCTGTTGGAGAAGGTTGATAAATTTCTTTTTAAATAATTAATATCTATAAATTAAATTAAAAATAGATAAATTTTATAAATTTAAAAAACATATATATTGTAATTTTTAACAATTAACATTCTATTATATAAAAATAAAAATAAATAAAGAGATAATTTCTAAATTAAAAAACACTGAAAAACTAAAATTTAAATTAATATTAAATTTAAAAATAAATACTTAATTAAAATATAAAAATAAAATAACTTCTAAAAATACTCGCTTAAGAAATTGTACTTTTATATATATATATATATATATATATATGGTTGATTTTGCATTCACTTCATGAGTGATATTAATTATTAAAAAATATATTTGAAAGGTAACTTTAAAAATTTAGTTAAAATCATATAAAATATTTATAGTTATATCGATAAATACATGATTATAAGATATTGATAAATAATATAATCAGTAATAATTTGTTTTTAATCAAAAAGCATTGTTTACGGTAGGTTATGGGCCTATTAACAGGCTTGCTTGGGTACTAGGCACTAGGCCCAATAGCCTGTCAAAGAGTCATATTGCACAAGTATACTTAAATAAGATTTATATTCACACAAATCTTAATAAATTACGTATTTATATTTATGTTTCAAAAAATATTTTTTAAAATATACTTTTATTTTAATTTTATATTTCATTCATTTTATCATTTAAAGGAATATAAAACTCTTTATCTGAATATTTATTAATTAAGCTGGAATAATCCATATTAATTGATTTATGTGATGGATAGTTAAATGCAATATATAATATTAAAATATATACATTTTATCCCCATATTAAGTTAACCTGTCTTACCTTAAAATTACGAAATTTTGATCCAATCGAGTTGAAACCAATGATCTTACTAAAATTTTAGGTCATCAGGTATTAACAAATTGGAATAACACAAAATGCAGTATGAGGACGAAAAAAAATGCTAATGGATAGGAAGTTAGTGGAACTCCATGCAGTTCATTTTTTGAATCACAAGGGATCGTAATCGATACAGTTGATGCGTCACTTTCTTCCCAGCTTTCCCAGGCTGGCATTCTCACAGTGCCACATGCATCTCAACTTGTTCCAAAATCATCACTCCTTACCATTTAGGTTCATATTTCTAATCAATACCACCCAAAATACCTTCTCCTTGTCTCATTTTGGCTTTATTCATTTTTTGGTTTAATTTTAGCAATTTGCTATAGGAAAATATTTTGCTGTATCTACTTGCTATGAGAAAAGATAGAATGTTTATAACACATGAATCAAATGGTAGATGATTGTTTTAATTCAATCTATTGTTTTAAGTTTGATTTTTAATGTTGTTGTATTAAATACTTAGAGACATAAAGTTACAATTTATCTACAAAAAGAACACTATTATAATAAAAAAATGGGCTCCTATCCGTTTGTGTTACAAATGACTCGATTTCACCAACGTTAAAAAATTTGACAGGCATTGAGCATACTTTGTATCTTATGTAACTCTCAGTGTTTACAGAACTTCAATGCAAACAGGTAAATTAGAGATGAGAGACTGGCTTCATTGGAGTATATACGATTACGAAAAAATGTAGCACTTCAGAGGAGAGGCTCCATCAAAGGAGAGTAAATTAGAAAGTTGACATCCCTTGAATGGGGAATGAAATTGATGAAGAGAGAGATTTGAAGTAAAGAAAAAAAGAAGAGAGAAAAAGTAAAAGATATAATAAATAATATGCTAAAAAGGAAGAGACAATTAAAAAGAAAAATAGAGAAAAGGACATAGAATATACGAGTTGAAACAAACTAAATGATCGTGAATCACATTTAAAAAATAATATTGTCTATTCATAAAAAAAAATTATATATGCCTCAAGTGAAAAGAAATAAATATCAATTCAGAATGAAAACTGCTGATACACAGAGAAAGAGAAGTAATTAATTATAAATTTAGAATTAGATTTTTTTTTTTTTTTATCATCGTAGGTGACACTTTTAGGTGTTTTTTTTTTATATGTTTGAGGGTATAATTTTAAAATATCTGTATACAAAAACATAAAAAATATTTGTTTAAAACATAAATAAAATATACAATGTCATATAAGGATATCATTTTTTAATGATTCAAATAATTGGTTGATATATGAGAAAAAAATAATTAATATCTACAGGGCTGTAAGGACATGAGTCAAGTCAGAATATATACTTAAAGAAGATATTAATTAAATTTAATTCATTTAAATAATTAAAATCAACCTAAAATATAATGTTTTTTGTATACCTAAATCAACAAGTATAAGGGAATATTCAATAAATTGAGTTTGAACATATTTATCGATTCAGGTACATGTTCTGTGTGCATTTCAATTCATTGCCAAGAAAAGATACACCGAGTTATTCACCATTCATTTTAGAGCCTTTACGATATTTAAACTCAAAATATTCATACATATATCTTGGTATTTATCAGTTAGGTATGTGTTCTACTTCTATGTCCATTTCACTTTAGAATCCTTACGACACCTACACTAAATCATAATAATGATTTCATCTTAATTTGGGTTGCCACGTTATATGTTTGAACCTTCCCCTTCCACTGTACTATTCTTCAATCACTACCCAAAGGGAACAGAAACACCTAACTTGTGAGGCTCATTAATAGATGGAGCACTCATTCTCAGCGACAAAAACGGTGTTAAACACCATTGATCTCTAAACACACTCCCAACTACCCATAATGCTCCCTAACTAATTCTATAATCTTAGTGTGTGCTCACAAAAAGAAGAGGCAAATAGTAACTTAATGCACAGTGTAACCCATGCTACCTATTATAAATAATGCATGTATTTGACAAGAGTAACACAAGCCTTCGAGCATTTCCCTTTTCAGCTTTCATTGCCAACCAAACCTTAGAGTGGCCTTTCTGTTTTCTCAATGAGAAACCCTTCCTCTATGCAATGCGCATTTTCGCGCTTCGGGGTTCCCTTGATGCTTCTTGTTAGCATCTTTTGTGCTACTTCAGCTTTAGCAACAACTGAAGTTCCAGGTTTGTGCTTCATGCTCACTCTGACACAATAATTAAATTTTTTGTTAATGTGTGAAATGCTCACACGTACTTAGTAGTGGTGACTATGCATGTATTATCAGTCCATTTTATGAGTTAAATACAAGTTATCAAAAGTAGAAGAATTTTATCAAAAAAATATTTTTCACTTTGTTGTATTTCTTACATTATAAATGGTTTTCTTAATCATTTATAATTATTTTAAATTATACTATAATAACTGGTATTAACTTAATTTTTCATTAATTAAAATATTCACTCAAACGAGGAATAAAAATTATTCATGAACTGTAAAATACTTACACGCTACATTCCGTCAATGAATGAAAATTATATATGGTCATGAGTTGATAGTTAGTCTTTGACAGATATTGTTTGTCTTCTACGTTCAAATATTTAAACTATAAATTTTGCGTCTTGATACACTCCATCAACTTGAAGACCTTTCCATAGAGGACACTATTTGAACTTTAAAATTTAACTAGTGACGTGTAATGTATATGTATTATTAAATTAAAGGGATTTTTTAAATAAAATATTAAAGATATATTACATGAATATTTTTGAATTTATTAAGTTTTATAGATTTAAAATATTTATTATTATTATTATTATTATTATTATTATTATTATTATTATTATTAAATTTAATTAAAAGATGAAGTTCTAAATTCAAAAGCAAATCATAATGAAAATTTATGTGGCATAATGAAAAGAAATTAACTGGTTAAATAAATCTGTTACTTATGGAATGCAGTGAACACAGATGGGAAGGTTGTGAATGAAGAGCTGACAAAGACAAATCAAAATGGACATGATGAAGAAGCAAAATTCAAAGGGTTTTTCCATCCAAAACCAATCTTCAAGAAGACAATTCCAATTTTTAAGCCTGAACCAAAGATTATTCCTATTCCAGTGTATAAGCCTGTACCAAAAATAATTCCAATTGTTAAGCCAATTCCTGTATTTAAGCCTCACCCAAAACCAATTATAGTGAAAAAGCCAATCCCAGCTGTTGAGACAGAGTCATTTCTAAAGCCAAAGCCTTTCTTTAAAAAGCCTATTATTCATAAAATACCACTTCATCCCAAATTTGAGAAACCACATATACCACATTTTCCAATTCACAAGCCAATTCACAAGCCATTTATTCCAACTCCATGAGATGATTACACTCTTTCTCCATATTCTACAAAATTATCATCCTTAATTATCCATTCTATTTCCAAATCCTTTACATGTATTGCTATGCCACTATCTCAACGTCAGTAGTGTTTCTATAATCATGTTACACATCTTGTGTATTCTATTAAAATATATCTATATCTAGTCCATGCTTTATTGCCTCAATAAGGTTCTCAGCATTGCTGTTGTAAATCGATTCTATGTATTATTGCAAAAATGCAAGTTATTCTCTATTTTTCGTTTATATAATTTTGTTAGTTTTCCATTCCTTTTAACATTTTGTGTGACTCCATTTTCCGCAAGGCTATTCATACCAAATAACCGTATATACACAAAATTACGACAGTACATTTTTACGTCCTTCTAATTTTAGTACATAAAAATTTCAAAGTTTAAATTAATTATCTCCTCAAAGTTATCCAAATCAACTTTCCCGAAATTGGGATGATGGACAATGTTTTAATTTTGCATCTAACATTAGATCTATCGGTCTATTTTATCTACAGAAAATTAAGTTTAATTTTGATATATCATCAATATAAAAATATTTAAACTGCTAATTAATTAAAAATTAGTATACATATATCTTTTAAAGTTATTATAAAAGTAAATAACTTTTAATGACGTAATAGTTCACGATTAGATTCGATGGCAACATAAAAAGTTTTAGATTATTGATGTATTTTAATTAAATTCTAAAAATGTATGCATAAGTTCTCGTTTTGGCTTTCATTATGTCAAATGCTTCATTCTATATTCTTAGTCACTAAGAAATATTGTGAATGTTGATGAAAGTGAAAGAGTAAAAGAATCTCACCAACCCTTTCATATTTAAACAACTGATAGAGATGCCTTGGAAAGAGGGTGGATTTTCATTGTGTATTAAAGCAGAATGAAAGTACACTCTCATGTATGTGGGTTGATGAAGTGTAACGAAACTACGCTATTTCTCGAGTAAGTAATCGAGGAGATATCATTATAATGATAGGTTACAAAGTGGATATGTTTAATTTAAAATTTTAACACATTAAGTTATGGATATTTTTTTTTTATTTACATGTTACCTAGTTTGATCAATATTTTTTTAAAGGTGTGACTTCTATATATTCACACTTATTACTTCAATATTACAAATCATTTAAATAATTTTAGTTCGTCCTGGTAGCATGATGTATAAAGTGTACAATTATAAGGATTATTTTCTAAGTGGGTCAAGGCAATGCTAATAATTATTTTAACAATTTATTCTCTTAAGCACATTCTTTAACATCATATATGTGATTGATCTATTTTAAAAAAATTCAAAACACTTTTCTTATAAATAAATATTTCTTTATAAATTACATTAATTTCTTAAAATATTAATTACTAATTTTAGTGTATTTGGAAAAACGTGTTGCTAGTATTTGGTGGATCTTTGGGCCAGCTAGTATACCAAATTGGTGTATAGGACTTGCAACACAAATGCACAAAGAATAATATTTTAGGCATCTCTGAAATAAGTTTATTTTATTTATTCCCATTTGAAAAGTGTGTATTTAGCATAATATTTAAGCATAAGTTAGTACTCTAAAGTCTTAGTAATCATGCATTTGATTTAGATTTAACATTTATTTTATTTAATTAGTTCAAATAACTATTGTATTGCGTGTTTTATGTATAGATAAATTGTTAGAGGAAAATTTAAAAGAAATTTAAAGTTGAAAAAAAAAATATGAACCCCTCTCAAAAAAATTACTATTGGGTGCTAGTGGTGTTACCCATGGCAGTGGTGAAAACCCATGAAAAAATAAAATAAGAAATGGATCCACTAGCAAACCATGGAGTCCACCACAACCATGGATCATGTTGCCTTATCAAAGTTCAAGATTTTTCAAGTTCAAAGGCATCCACTGAATAGCCATGGACTCCACCATAGCCATAAATTAAGTGAAAACAACACAATTTTCATGTTTATATTTGCTTTGAGTAGTTTGAAAAGACTTTTAACACCTGAAGTATAAATAGAAAAGATATGAAATGAAGTTCAAATATTAATTTTGCATTCGGGACTATTTGAACTCTGAATTTAACATTAATTTAAATTGATTTGTGCATCATGGGATTGTGTATCATATACGTAGATAAACCGAATAGAATGAGGAATTGTTTAGAAATTTAAGAAAAAAAAATCAACAAACTAACAAGATTCTTTAGGACTTGAAAACTAAAAGAAGAAGAAGAAAAGATTAATTACTTGACTGCAAAAGGTTTAGAAGCTTGTGGTATTATTTCTTACTTTCTATGTCCTCATAATTAAGAATCATTTTTCTTCTTTTGTTTCTTTTATTCTTTCAATTATTCTCTCAAGTCTTCTTTAATTTTTTCCCTTCCTCCTCTTTTTTTTTTTTATCCCTTTAACGCTCTCCCTCCTCCTTTTTATAAATTAGAATTCTCTATTTCAACCTAAAAGCTATTAAATTTCATAGCACTAATACAAGTTAAAAGCACTTATTCAAAACCTACCAAAAAATTTGTCTTTAGTTTGTCTTTACAATTAGACTTTACTTTCAAAGTAAACTTATGATCTTTGTTGTGGAAGAGGGTGATCATGATTATTATTATTATTCTTTATTTATTTAATAATAATTTTTTGACCTAATGATTTGAATATATTTTCCTTTTTCATTTTATTCTAAAATTTGACTCTCTTTTCTTGTATTTTAATTAATTTGAGGCATTAACTTAAGTAGAAATGCATTATATAGCCCATAATTATTTCCATTCTAATTTCATTGCTTTCAAAATTGAAAGTTATAAAATAAATTATGCAAGTAAAAAAATACATCAATCAACATATTTAATTACATAAAAGTGCTTTATTCTTTTCCAATTACATATATCATTTATAGAATAATGTCAAATTTTCAATAATTTTTGGTTCAGTAAAAATAAGTTTTACAAAATTAAATAAATAAAATATTACTTACGTGCACTAATGTCTTAACAAAAATTAAATATATTTTTTTAACTTTGTTATAAATTGAAAAGATTATTATTATAAAATTATTTGTGATAAATTAATCATAATTTTACATGCCTAATATTTAAAAATAAAGATTGAATAAAATTATAATAATTTTGATAAATGTTTTAATTGCTTTGCAAATCTTATTTTAAAATTTACTTTTTAAGTCTATGTATATATGTAAGGACAGGACATACTATCACATGCTTTGGTCAACAACAACTCCTTTAGAAATAGAGAATTCCAACAAGAATGAACCTTTTAAAAGAGGTCAAATCTGAAGCGAGATGATAATTTGAAGTTCGGTTTCTGAAAATTTAAGATAGAAACAACACAACATTTTTTCTTCATTTGTGTAGCTATTCTTATAGAATCTGGCAGATGTGTCATTATTAGCATGGGTGAGCAAGACAGGTTTTCCAAATTTTGGAAAAAATTATTTCATTTAATTAAATGCATGCATGAGGTAAGAGAAAAGAGTCATAGTAAGGCCTGAAATTTGATGTAGGTGGTAATGTTATGCTCAATATATATCATTCGATAGCGATTTCATCTTTATGGCAAAGTTAAAGTGAAGCATGAAAAGGATATTATGGACCCAATGCCATTCAGAACTTGGTAAGGAACACTGTCAACAACATGGGAGCATGTCCCTCTTCGAATTGGTGACCAACCCAATTGAGTGATTGCATTCTTGTGTTTGATCTTTCGAGTGTTGGGGCAATTCCAAGTAATTATTTGGTTTGGTCGTTAGATTTATTTTATTTGAGGTTATGGGCATGAAATTCTTTGTTGGTAGCTATCCAATTTTTCACCTACATGGGTGTGGGCTACAGATGCCAAGCAAAACCACTAATTTTCCATTCGTTGAAAAGATTAATTTTAACTTATAAATTTTTTTAATTTATTTTTATATTAATTTATTTTTCTATAAAGACTTATCATCTTGTGTTGCATTTGATTTTTTCAAAAAAGAAATCATTCTACTTTTTGTTTTTTATCCAAGCAGAGAAAGTATTGTTTGATTTTTAAAAAATTACTAATAATACACTCTTTTAAGTACATTCTTTATTGTTAGTTAAACTTTATTATAAATTTAAAATTATGAAAGCCTTGCTTTTAATTTAATTTGTTTTACTTATGTCTTTGTAATTTTTAATAAATTTTAATTAATAAATAATAGTGGATTAGTCAGTATGTTTCTGATACTCATAATTTTTTGTTATAAAAATTTTAGAAAAAGGAAATTAATGATATCTAGATTTAAGGTACAAAAGCATCCTAATCAAAGAGAAATTATAAAAAAAAAAGTATATTTACAAAGTCATAAAAAGACTAGTTATCAGGACTTCAAATTATAACAAGACAAATACAAAACACTCTGTTGTTTCATTCAACCAACGTTGTAGAATTACATGCTACATTGTGTTTGAACCTTCCCAAGTACCATGAAAAGAAACACCTAACTTGTGAGGTTCATTAAATGGAGGGAGAACCCATTATATCAGCAGCAATAACGGTGTATTAACGCCATTGATCTCTCTAAACACAGGTACAACCACCCACAATAATCCCTAAACCAAATCTAACATTTCGGAGGATATGAGAAGAAGTAATTGCCAATAGACCACTTAATGAACAGTTAAAGTCTCAAGCTAGCTATTATAAATAATGCAAGTATGGGACAAAAATAACTCAAGCCTTCAGAAATTTCCCTCTTAATTTCAGCTTTCATTGCCAAACACTATAGTCAGTGGCCTAGTTGTTTTCTCAATGAGGAAAGGTTCCACTCTCCAATGTGCACTTTTGTGCTTCTGGGTTCCTTTCTTGCTTATTGCCAGCTTCAATCATGCTACTTTTGTTAGGGCAAGAACAACTGAGGTTTCAGGTTTGTGGCTCATGCTTATCACAAACATAAAATTTTATTTTTTATCGAGTAATTAAAATGATTAAAACTTTTAAGATTGAATTTCAAAATCCTTAAGACTGCTAAAAGAATAAAGGTCTTGTTTGACAGGGTTTTTATGTAAAGTTATGTAGTATTGTATATTAGAATAATTTATTTTTAACTTATTTTAATTTAATCAATTTGATTGTTAAATATATAATATAAACCCTCTTATAATAAATTATATATTAAAATATATTCTAAATTTATTATTAAATATACATGCCTACATATAAAAACGTAAATATACTTATACATGCATCGGATTTGGAAGATTAGATCCATGCATGCTTGACATTAAGATCAACATTTTCTACCTCTGGCATTTGAAAGATGAAAAACTATTCATAAATCGAATATGCTGTGCTCTAATGTTTTGAGGAAAGAGACCGACGCTTCATACGCTATAGCCAGACAATGATTCATTTTTACTTGTTAGTATGTCTTTTATTGGTGTTATTGTCTTCCAAATTTTACCTCAGCATGAGTGTATGCGTGAAATTAATTTTTTATGATTATATTTTGAGCATCTTCCTCTTCAACTGATATTATTTTTTACATTGTTGTATTTCCTACATAATAAATGTTTTTTAATCATTTATAATTGTTCTAAATTAACTATAACAATTGGTATTAAGTTAATTTTAATTAATTAAAATATTCACTCAAACGAGGAATAAAAACTATTCATGAACTGTAATATACTTACACGCTACATTCAGTCAATAAATGAAAATTATATATGGTTAGTTGATGGTTAGCTTTTGACTGATATTGTTTGTATTCCACGTTCACATACTTTAATTATAAATTTTGCATCTTGATACACTCTGTCAACTTGAAGACCTTTCCAAAGAGGAAACTATTTGAACTTTAAAAGCATTGTAACTAGTGACGTGTCATGTATGTGTATTATTAAATTAAAGTGATTTTTAAAATAAAATATTAAAGATATTAAATGAATATTTTTGAATTTAGTAAATTTTATAAATTTAAAAGATTTATTATTATTGTTTAATATAATATAACATTATATTATATATGATTAAATTAAATTAAAAAATGAAGTTTTAAAATTCAAAAGTAGATCATAATGAAAATTTATGTGGCATAATGGAAAGAAATTGACTGGTTAAATAAATCTGTTACTTATGGAATGCAGTGAACACAGATGGGAAGGTTGTGAATGAAGAGCTGACAAAGACAAATCAAAATGGACATGATGAAGAAGCAAAATTCAAAGGGTTTTTTCATCCAAAACCAATCTTCAAGAAGACAATTCCAAATTTTAAGCCTGAACCAAAGATTATTCCTGTTCCAGTGTATAAGCCTGTACCAAAAATAATTCCAATTGTTAAGCCAATTCCTGTATTTAAGCCTCACCCAAAACCAATTATAGTGAAAAAGCCAATCCCAGCTGTTGAGACAGAGTCATTTCTAAAGCCAAAGCCTTTCTTTAAAAAGCCTATTATTCATAAAATACCACTTCATCCCAAATTTGAGAAACCACATTTACCACATTTTCCAATTCACAAGCCAATTCACAAGCCATTTATTCCAACTCCATGAGATGATTGCACTCTTTCTCCATATTCTACAAATTATCATCCTTAACGTTATCCTTTCTGTTTCCGAATCCTTTACATATATTGCTATGCCACTATCTCAACGTTAATAGTCTTTCTATAACCTGTCGTACACATCTTATGTATTGTATTAAAATATATATCTAGTCCATGCAGTATTGCCTTAATAAGGTTCTCGACATTGTTGTAAATCGATTTTATGTATTATTGCAAAAATGGAAGTTATTCTCTACTTTTCGTTACATTTAGTGATTGCTTATACATTCTTTCGAAGGATATTTCTTAAGAATTATGCAACCAAATTACTAACTAAGATGTGAACATATCTCAGTGGTTGTTCAAAGGCATGGAAAATTTTGGAAAGTGCATTACAGTCAATAAAGTGAAAGAAAGAAGCATTTTTACGAGGATTAAATTCAGCCATCAACACACAAAATTATTACTATTTGAACTGAACTTAATTTTGAAGTGATACTCAAAAGTTTAATCAAAGCAAAAAAATCGAAACACAATAAAATATAATAGTAATTTTTTAAAAAATCTAGGAAGAGTTAAAGTAGACTTCTCCAAAACCTCACTCAAAGCAATCTAATCCTCTCTTAACTCAAGCTTCAACATCCAATTCCATATCAAATTTACTTAAATACAACGAGTGCAGGTAAAGACTTATTTTATAGCCAGTAAAACAAAAATATTTATCGACAATTCTAGCAGTACTTTTAATAGTTTGCAAAATTGAATTTTGGACAACTCTATCCACTCATTTACCAACTATTTTCTCCTGTGGAGTAAAAGTTAAAAGAAAACTTATAACGATAATAACTATTGTTAATAAAAGAAATTTTTATTTATTGTCTAAAATGTAAACTATAGAATAACACAATCAGAACTATTATTTTCTAGCAAAATACTAGGAGTCTCTCAAATAAGAAAGCTCATAAAGTAAAGAATCAATCTAACTAAGAACTATAAAACAAAAACAATAAGGATAAAGGTACGTAAAACACCATTATTTATCTATTCTATCCTATTATTTTAGTGGCAAAATTGTTATTTTTAAGAAATTAGTAACTAAAATCATTGTAAATAACATGCAACAATTTGACATATATAATTACCCGTCAAGGCATCAATTAGCTTTATTTCCCTCCTAAAAATCACGAACAACAAAATATATTTAAATGTAGTCTAATTACACAAATATAACTTGCATAATAGTTTATGTTTATCTATCTGTCATCCCTTCCCAAGCATAACGAAAATGAGAATTTCTTCTCCCTAACCTCAAAAATCATGACTGAAATGGTTTGAGAAGGGCAATGTTATTTTGTCCTAAACTCTTTGCATATATGAGCACTATTGTAAGCAAAGGAAGATTTGTTAAACACTAAAGAAACATGTCGCAAGCATAAAATGTTAAAAAAAACAAAACAAAAGAAGTAAAAAAACAAAGATTGATTTTTCAATATTTAAAAACTAACAAATCAATCATAAAACATACATGTATGTCCAACTGACGATTTGTTGGTAGCTATGTAAGTTAAATACTTTTTTATACTTCAATTCATTTATTATTACAAAATATCTAAGTGAGAGTATGATAGTTTAATCCCATTCTTTGTTGCATTAATTTTATTTCAGTTCTTTTATACCAAGTCTTAACAAATATACTAAAATAACTATTTTAAATCACTCTTAAAATAATTTTGCAATGGAGCATGGTCCATGGGCATTAAGTCCTTAATTTGTAAATAATTGAGAACAGATCACACAATTATAACTTTCTACTCCTCCCAGTAAGTTAGATCTGTGGTTGACATAAATAGAATTAGATATTCACTAAGATATTTTCTCTAGTCATAAAATGAAAGATAATTAAAGTAGTTCTCACCTTAACTTTAGCTCACCCTTCGCCGATGCATAAACTCTATATTACATGAACCCACCTTGTGAATTTATTGATGGGTATGTTTACAGTTTTACACTGCCGACACTACGAATACTATTTTTGTCTTTGTTTTATTTGTTTTTGGTTTAAACCATTATGGGTTCCAAAATCACAACTAATTTTATTTTTTTAGCATAGTGAAAGTCTTGAATCATGCAATTCAGAACAAAGGAAGTGATGATGAGTGGTCACTTGGCATGTGTTTAAGTCAACGAGTATTTAAGAGACTGGGATTGTTGTGATGTTTGAAAGCTAAGTTGAGAGGCTTTGATTATCCTTTATTTTGTTGGTAGCAGAATTGGTGACATGAGTTTGGTTGATGATGCCTTGGAATTATCATGAACGTGAAGTATGTTTTGTGGTTTGGGTTTTCTTTGGGGTCTCAATCATTTTGGCTTAATCTATCTGTTTCTTGTTTTATTTTTATTTTTTTGTCAACATCTATTCCTTTCTTTTCCTTTTTGGTTTATTGTTTCTTTGTTTTTAGTTGGTAGTTTTGGTATGTGTTATTGGATCATATTGTGGGTGTGGCAAGCGTGAGCAGTACAATTTTTTAATAATTTTGTTAAAATATACTTTTATTTTAATTAATTTATTAAAATTTACTAAAATTATAAAGGTTTCATACTTAATTTAATAAATTAAATAATAAATTTTTAATTTTTAATAATTTTAGTGAATAAATAAAAATGTTAAAGAAAACCGTATCCTTACACCTATCTTAATTGCAAACTTAAACACAACTAGTATTCAAGTTGTCTTCTATCTTTTTGAAAATTTTGTTTATCTTCCTTAAAATTAACTTACTTTTACCTTTTGATGTACATGGACAATTTTTTGGGCTTCTCACAGCGTAAAACTTTCCTTTTTCCATGTTATTTTTAATTATATATTGTGTATATGTGTAAGTGAGTGTGTGGATGCGTGTAATTTTATGAGATAAATTGTACATTTTAAAATTTGTAAAAGTAATTTAAATATATTTCATAAAAAATTAATTATGAAATATGCAATGCATATTAAATTTTTAATATTTTATTCATTTATTTATTTTAAAATTTTGATATTTTCTTAATTTTTTAAGTGAAAGACTATATTCATTAAACTAAGGCTGAATTTTTCATTATTAAAAATTGGAAATGTAAGTGTTGACGTAATAGTTTTACGGTAACTAATTAGACATTAATGCATTTAAATTTAAAAAAAAAGTATAGTTAAAATTTAAAGTCTATTGCATAAAAATGTGGAAGGATGGTCAAAACGTACCGTTGGACACTTTAAATATGTATTAAATAAGCACTGGTTTTTCTATGTAAAGACTACCATTATTGATGAAAGGATAATTAATTAATTGTCATCTCCAGAGCTTTTATAACAAGAAGTATAGTCTCCGGTTGATCATAATTGGTCACACTCGATAGTAAAAGATGATAATCAATTATTGCTTAAGAGAATGATTTATATGCATTCCGATTTTAGTCTTATCAATTCTGTGGTCCATTTTCATTGTCAAGAATAATTTTCTTTACACCAAATGTATTCCTTACTCAATAGTTGTTAATTAATTTCTTCGAAATATAAAAGTTACTTAAATGAATTTACTTTTCTTAAAAAAAAAAATCGTGTTCATATATACAATTAAGAATTAAATTCTTATCAACATTCTCAAAACATAACTATTTACTAACTATGTCAAACTAAACAAGGGTTTGAACCTTCCCTACTTCAATTACCACCCAAATAGGGATAAAAAAAACACCTAACTAGAGAGGCTCATTTAATTGAAGGAGAAACAATAATCAGCAACAATAACGGTGTTAAAAGCCATTGATCATCTCTAAAGGAGCCTCCGACTACCCATAATAATCACAAAAAAAGTAATGGCTTAATAGGCCACATAATGTAAAGTTAATCCCAAGCTAGCTATTATATACTATAAATAATACATGTAAGGGAATAGAATAAATCAAGCCTTAAGACATTTCCCTTTTCAATCTTCATTGCCCAACCCTAGTGTGGCCTAGTTGTTTCTTTCAATGAGAAGCCCTAACACTTTGCAATGCGCATTTCTGCGCTTGTGGGTTCCCTTGTTTCTTGTTGCCAGCTTTTGTTGTGCTACTTTTGCCATGGCAACAACTCAAGTTTCAGGTTTGTGGTTTATGCTGACACTCACATAGATAAATCTTTGTTCATATGATGTACAAAATGCTTTGCACATACATAACAGAGTTGTACCTCTAAGTAATGGGTTGGGAATAGTAGATCCATACTTGACATTAAGTTTGAGGATGGGGACCTCTTCACTATTTAGTCAATGAAAATTATGGTGTATATATATATTGTTCTTATTGCCATAGAAATTCAATTCGATGATTTATTTAAGCGGGTACATGTGCATATCTAATTAAATTGTGGTCCATACTATCTCAACTAGGGTTTAGTGGCTCCAAGAGTCCCCACATCAAATGACTTGTAGAGATTTTGTTCGTCCTTGGCCATGTATATGTTACATTGCTATCTCGTTTGGCACTTCGTTTCAATTATTTGTTTTGATATACTTTTCTATCTATATGAAACAATTCAAATTTTGTGATGTGTATGGACAAACGTATTAATTATAAGTGCTTATTCAATACATTTTTATCATTACAAATTGAAAAACTATAGTAAATATCATGAAAAAGTTTTATAAATTATTTTCTTAAATTCCTAAAATGGTCTTCTAAACGTTCTCAATATCATAATGTCATTGTGTTTAACTGATTCTTCACCATTTCTAATTCAGGGAGTGAAGAGTTGACAAAGGCAAACCAAGAAGGACACGATGAAGAAGCAAAGTTTAAAGGGTTTTTTCCAAAACTAATAATCAATAAGCCTATTCCAATTGTTAAGCCTGTTCCAAAGCCAATTCCCATTGTTAAGCCTATACTAAAGCCAATTCCCATTGTTAAACCTATTCTAAAACCAGTTCCTATTGTTAAACCAGTACCGAAGCCAATTCCTGTTATCAAGCCTATCCCTATTCCAGTGTATAAGCCTATGCCAAAACCAGTTCCCATTGTTAAACCACTTATAGTGAAAAAACCCATCCCTACTGTTAAGCCAAAAGAATTTCTAAAATCAAAGCCTTTCTTTGAAAAGCCTATTCCCAAACTACCAGTTAACCCCAAATTCAAGAAACCACTTCTACCACCTTTGCCAATTCACAAGCCAATTTCAATTCCATAAGATGATAGGAATCTTTTGGCTCATACTATAAAATTATCATGCTTAGAAAGCTACCTACTATATGCCTTTAATTTATATAAATCTTATGTTGTATCTCAAAATCAATCAACTGCGCACTTTGTATTATCTTAAGCTTGTCGTACACTTCTTGTGTACTGAATTGAAATATAGTTTTCACCTCAATAAAGTTATCACAATTGCTATTGTAAATGTGATTCTAATTCTATATATTATTCTAAGAGTGAAATGATTTACTGTTTTTATTTAAATAATATTTTTTTAATTTTGTAGTTTCCTTTAATAAATCTGCTTATGTGCTTTGTTTAAATTTTTTATATCATTCTCAAACCCAAATCAAAAGTGGTTAATACTGAGTAAAACTCACCCGGATCAACAAGGTTGTCTTTTCTTTTAAAATTCTATGCGGTTACAATTTTTTAAAACTAATTCACTCATTTTTATTTTCTACTTTGAGTCCTATGCAATATAAATTTATCAAGTGCAATTTTAATATTTTTATTAAATAATTATTTTTTTAATCAATTTAAATATATTTATTTCTTTTATTAAATAAAATTAATTTTATATGTTAAAATTTTTTAAGTTATATTTCTAATTTTGATAAATTAAATAATCAAACTTTTGTTTATTTACTTTTATTTCTTCATTTTATCATATAAATTTTGTAATATCGATGTATAATTTACATTATCTTTCTCCAATAAATCATAAGGAGTTTATGTATAACTTACGTTATTTTAAATTTGCTATCATGAATCATAATTTAAATATAAATTTAAATATTTCATTTATAAATAAAATTATTTTTTAATGATTTACAACATAGTTGTGTGATCTTTCTTCGCTTTTTATATTGTTTATCGTAAGATGTATATATAACTGTATTATCTTATATCCCAAGAATTATAATTTTACGAAAATTTTAATTTTAAATAATTTTTTTACTAAATTTAATTTTAATCAACTAACTTTAAAATTTTTATAATATATGTACGTAACTTTGAGTTTCACATTGGACTAAGGGATAAATAGGAGTAGGAACCGAACCTATTGAGTCAAAACTAATTTTGAAATAATTTTCTTTTCCTAGAGATACAAATTAATACTTTAATAAATAATTATTTTATCTAAAAATAAAATAACAATTTAGGGATTAAAAATATTTCTTTAAAATTAAAATAAATTTATACAATTAATTTAAAGTAATAATTATTTAAACAGATATTTTAAAGTGCTAATATATTCTTACGCGTAAATGACTCCCAAACTCATTTTTTGTTTTAAAATTATTTTTTACAATTTTTCAAAATTTTTTTTAATAAACTTTGTTAACAACTCCTCTGTTTTTTATTTTTAATTAATCTTTTATTAAAATAAATATCTTTAAATACATTATAAAATTATTATTTAATACACAATTTTATCAACTTAAATCTTTAAAGTTAATTTTAAGCATTTAAAAATAATATTTATTATATTTGTTTTATTTTTAAAATAATAAATATTTTGTAATAAAATATGATTAATTTTATTTATTATCTTAAGACAAATATTAATAATTTTGTTTAGACTTAAATATGCTTTAACTACCTTTAAATAAGGCTTATTTTAAATTACTACCTATTAAATTTTTTATTTTAATGTTTAACTAATTTTTTTTTAATTTTGTATCTGACTTTAACCTTCGTCAGTTAAATAGTAATGTGGCTCACAGTTTGCCACATCATCCCCAATCTCTCTCCTCCACCTTATCCTTAAATTTTCACGTCACGACTCTACATCAAAAAATGAAACATAACTTATACGTTGCATTTTGGGAAATGAGGGGAAAAGGGCCAAATCAAGAACCCTATTCCAAGAAGAAGAAGAAAAACACTAAGGAGAAAAACACGCTGAAGACAAACATGAAAGGAAGAAGAAGAATCATAAAAGGAAGAAGAAGGTTAGGTTTCCTTCGTTAGTTATTGTTGTTTATCTCGGTTTCCGTTTCCGTTCTTCATCTTCACGAAATGAGTAGTATGGGTGGTTCCTCGTGCTCATCTTCTTCACGAGTTATTGTAACTTGCAAAAGTAATAAGTTTGCTATAACTTTTATCTCACATAGTAAGGAAAATCCTAGTAGAAAGTTTTAGAGATGCTCTGCTTGGAATGTAAGTTCAATTAGTTGTATTTGGGGATAAATATGTTTATATTTAGTTTACAGGAACCTAATTCTTGTAATTATTTTCGTTAAGTTAAAGAGCCTGTAAATGGAGATAATGAGTCTGTTATCTCGAGACAAATCCGCATAATTCAAGAGTTGAAGGTAAAGATTAGTGATTTAATGGAGGTTGAAAAAGTAACTAAGGGAAAAATGACAAAAAGCAAAGAAGAGATGGTAAGACTTCAGTAAAAATGTCATGATCTCCATCAACAACTTGCAATTATTGAAGCTTAAAATATCCCGCAAGAAGAAGAAGAAGATTATTGTTAAGAGGAATAGGGTAAAGATTTTAAGATGTTTAGTAATTGTTCTTTGGTTTTTCATTACCATTGTGAGCATTGTAGTAGTAATGAATGTTATTGGTAGAGAAGTTTTAAAGGCTGACAATTTGTAATTCAATGTAATGAAAGTTGTTTTAAATATGGTTTAATGAATTCAATGACATAAGAATTAATGCTCATGACTTTGTTCATTTTGTTATTCAATCTATTGACTCTATTATTTACTCTGTTGAATTTGATTATATTCACTAAAAACTGATTCTGATTTGACATAACAATTGATAACTAAATGTACAAGTTTTATCAGTTATTAACTAACTCCATAATCTTAGTATAAATAAATGTTTTCATATTATTACCTTCAATATATAACTGAACGTAAATTATTACTTAATATTTTATATTCTTTTAGTATTTCTAAAATAAATATTTTACATTTTACTACTTGCATTATACAAATTTACTAATTCACTACCCATTTTTGTTATAAGTACCAAATTAGAAATGTGTAAAAATAGGACTCAAATATATAAAATAGTGGTCATAAAAGGTGCATATGCATACTACACATTGTTTATATTTGATTGTCATCAAAAGGTACATCTTGTGGTCCATAAAAGATTCTCATTCACATGCTTCACAATTAAAATAAAGATATTGTTGCTGTACATTGTTTAAAATAAAGTAAGTAATATTACTCCTAATACAAAATAACTCTAAACAATATTCTCCCTCAGAAATGGTTCCCAAAAAACACTGTTCTCCTTCAATTCACATCATTTGTTCGTCTCTCTTATTTGCCCCTTTTGCTACACTTGCCTCCAAACTTGGTTGAGTTGATAAAGGTGATGGAGTTAGCCATTCGTTAGCTGCTCTTTCTGCTACAACAATGTTTTCATTAAGATCTGCAGCAATTGATCTTCCTTCTAGTTGAACAATTGGTTGACTTGTTTGCTTCCGTCTTGTGATTGGTCCCTTCAGTGGTCTTCTTGGCATCAATTTTTGCTTGTAAAGGTAAATCATTAGATTTTACCAAAGCTATAAAATGATGAGGCTAATACATATACCTTTTTCTAGACTGGTAGAGATTGTTGTGCATTTGTTACTCTAGGTGGACTAGGTACTGAGCTCCTTGCCCTCCTCTTGTCATTCAAATCAAATATGATTTCCTTTCTATTCAACATATTATACTCTTGAATTGCATCCTTAAACTCCTTAATGGAACTAAACTCCAAACTTAACTTCCATTTGAAATCTTTATTCAAATCATCACCATTAAATTTGGAATATTTTCTTCTCAGATCATCTTCCTCAGAGTCACCATTGATCAGCTCTTCACTTGCATACTCATGATTAATATTATCTGCTTCTACTCTTTATGCCTTATAAAAACCATCTGCATTGGCAAAACCTTGACTAGTCTAACAAAAAATACCAACATTTATTCTTTTTGTTTGCCTCTTCCTAACACCTTTTTTTTTTCTTTTTTTTTTCCACCTATAGCTTTCTCAATAGCAGCAACAACAACATTCTCACCCCCAACACCAGCATTCTCACCCCTCAACTCCAGCTCTACCAGCAACACTAGCACCAACAATAGCCCTCCTTTTAGTCTGAGCATCACTTTGAAGCGCACTTGGTAAGTCACCTTCACGAGTGGACATTTCAACATATTCTTCTTCTCCAGAAATCCAAACAATTTCTACACAAACAGGTACTTTCTCAGGCTCATGAAATACTATGAGCAACATGTTCCTCCTCAGCCTCAACATCTTCATTCACTTTTTTTGTAGCTAATTTCTTCCTGTTACGTTTTACTCGCCTAAGGAACGTGTCTATCAAATCCATCATCCATGTCACCAGTCCTTTCCTCCTCACTATCATCTAAATGAACTTCCTTTAGAGTTTTCTCTTCAATATTGGCAAAATTGTCCCTAACAACACCCTTGTTGCCTTCACAAATAGCATACATTTCAACCTTCACACTATTAGACATGGCAAAGTTAGCCATGTCTAGGGCTACACTATTACGGTTGATTTCCTTGTAGTCATAAGGACCAAATTTTCACCATATCCTCACAGGGTGCTATTCGTAATCTAAGTCTTCTTTTACAATCTCAAGTGCTTCAAAGTACGACCACCTGTCCATATAAATGTTCTTCACAAGAACTGCCTCTTTGTCCCCAACATAGTGCATAATGGAGTCCAACTCAAAATGACCCTTGTGATGAATAATAATATTGAAAGTCATCTATATACAAAAAGGAACACATATTCGTGTTAGGTAAAGCAAAATTAACAAAAGTAAACCTTAACCCTCAATAATCAAATCGAATAACACTTACCTTCAACAATATCTAGAATGGTACTTTGTATTACTCTTTGCTCAATAGTAAGTGTTTTCCAGAACAGTAAAGGGCCTCACCTATTTATGGCAACAAAATGTTGCCTCTGGTAACACTTCTCCTCCACGAACAACCAATCACCAACAATGGTGTTTAGGAAACAAGGAACAAACAATAAATGAATGTTTGTTTCCAAAATGAAAAACAATAAAAAATAAAGATGAAGATGAGAAAGAAAGTTGAATTTTAGATAAATGGTTCAACGATTTTTGCTTTGTATTTTAAAATTTTTTACTTAAAAATGAAGATTGAGGAATTGCCCATTTACGACTTCAGCGTTCCTTCGTTCAATATTTTTAAAGTTGAAATACTATGTGCTTAAATCTTAATTTTTTTAATTTTTTAAAAAATAAAATACTAATATGAATTCGTGACGTGAAAATTTAAAGGTAAAGTAAAAAAGAAAAATTGAGTGACATGCAAACTGTGAGCTACGTCACCAATTAACTGACGGAAGTTAACGTTAAATATAAAATTGAAAAAATAGTTAAAAATTTAATTAAAAATTATAAATAATAATTTAAAATAAACTCTATTTAAAGATAATTAAAATATATTTAAATCTTTTATTTAATAAATTGTAAAAACAGAGTTTCGTCCAAATTTTAATTACTGTTACTTGAGAAATTATTTTTTTTAATTTAATTTTAGTAATATTATTCATATAAAAATTTTATTATGTTATATAAATATAAGTTTTATATGAATCATTATGAAAAATAGTAATTCTTACTTAAATATGATAGTTGATGTGTAAAATCAATGTATTTAAAGTAAAATTCATTTTTTTAATTTTAGTAATATTATTCATATAAAAAATTTATTATGTTATATAAATATAAGTTTTATATGAATCATTATGAAAAATAGTAATTATTACTTAAATATGATAGTTGATGTGTAAAATTAATATATTTAAAGTAAAATTCATTTTTTTAATTTTAGTAATATTATTCATATAAAAATTTTATTATGTTATATAAATATAAGTTTTATATGAATCATTATGAAAAATAGTAATTCTTACTTAAATATGATAGTTGATGTGTAAAATCAATATATTTAAAGTAAAATTCATTTTCTAAGTGAGTTTTGTTAATAAATTTCCCATCATAAATCCTTCTTCGATTGTAGTATGGCTCCAACATTCCCGATTTTCATTGACCATTTTCATAAAACGTCAACGCTTTAACCATTTCATACAACCCAACCTTTCAGTAAAAGCTCTCTCTCTCTCTCTCTCTCTCTCTCTCTCTCTCTCTCTCAATGATTCGGTCAGTGAAAGTTGCAGTGATTGGAGCCGGCGTCTCCGGCCTCATCGCCGCACGAGAGCTTCAACGAGAAGGCCACTCCGTCGTCGTTTTCGAGAAGAACAACCGCGTCGGAGGCGCATGGATCTATGACCCGAAAACAGAGTCCGACCCCATTAGTGTTGACTCGACCCGAGAAATCGTTCACAGCAGCCTCTACCTCTCGCTGCGCACGAATCTCCCGAGACAGCTAATGGAATTTTCGGATTACGCGTTTGCGAAGAAGGAATCGGGCGACCCGAGAACGTTCCCGGGTCACGAGGAGGTGCTCCGTTTTCTGGAAGATTTTGCGGGTGATTTTGGGATCGACGGGTTGATCCGGTTCGAGAAGGAAGTGGTGAAGGTGGAAGGGAAGGGGAACGAGTGGGTGGTTGAGTCCAAGAGAACCCGGGGCGGTGAGTCGGCGAGTCGAGAGGTGTTTGAAGCGGTTGTTGTGTGTTCGGGTCACCACGTAGAACCCTACCTTGGTGAGGTTCCAGGAATTGACACGTGGCGTGGGTTCCAGATGCATTCCCATAACTACAGAGTTCCTCAACCTTTCACCGATCAGGTATAGAAAATTTTCAAACTTTTACCTCTCCTTAATTATAATTAATGATATAAATTTATTAAAACAATATTTTTGACGTCATATTGTTTTTTAATATTTACATAATTCATTGATAATCACTAATAGGTTGTGATTTTAATTGGGCTTGGACCTACTTGCTTTGACATCTCAAGAGAAATTGCACAAGTAGCAAAGGAAGTTCATGTAGCAACAAGACTAAATCGAGATATAGCGGGTATGAAGTCAGAAAACTGTGGAAATTTATTGTTCCATTCTGTGGTATGTAAATGATTATTATGAATATAGCTTGAAAAAAACATTTTTTGAAATTGAAAACATATTTTACCTTTTAACTAATTTGAGTACTTTAATTTTACATAATATTTGTTATTTTTAAGAATATGATATTGCTTATTTTCGTTCTTGTCTTTTGACAGATCAAATGTGTATGCGAAGATGGCTTGGTTGTCTTTGAAGATGGATTCTCTGTTTATGCGGATGCCATAATCCATTGTACAGGGTACAATCAGAAAGTTTCTTTTTCCTCGTATGCTATCTGATCATTAAATTATATAAATTAGAATTATTAAATTAAGTAATATTCACAGAATCTTTATAACTTTTAATCCCATTTAGCTAATAAATAACAATGTGTTAAAATAAATGTTTTAAAGAGTGTGTTCTCAGTGTTTTTTACCTATGAAGCACGTATATAATATAGAGACTCTTTGAATCATGTACTTGTGAGTAATGTAGTTAATGATCTTGTGGCACAAGTAATATAACAGGTACAAGTACCACTTTCCATTCCTTGAAACCAATGGAAGAGTAACCGTTGAGGATAATCGAGTTGGGCCACTATACAAACATGTTTTTCCTCCGGCATTGGCTCCAGGGCTTTCTTTCATTGGTTTAACCTACAAGGTTATCATATATCAGTAGTTTCATTATATCATATGCTGAAACAATTAGTGTTAATTGTAATAACTTGGTGCGACCAGGGTCTCGGGTTCGATACACTTGAGTTACAAGCCAAATGGATTGCAAGAGTTTTATCTGGTAAGGTTCAGCTACCTTCGGAAGAGGACATGATGGCATCTGTTAAAGACTACTATCAATTAATGGAGGAAAATGGGTTGCCCAAGCGTTACACCCACTCCATTTATCCACTTCAGGTATGTATGTACACTTGTTTTACTCGCCATCTTTTGCTTTTGGTTTTCCTACTTTGCTCAATCATACCATTGATACACCTGTGCCCATAGATGCAATCCAAATTGCCAATTGATTGACATGACTTGTTTATCAGTAGCTGTAATAATTTTTATGAAAAAATAAGACATTAATCTAGCTAAGTTGTCAGTAGTCTGCCAAACAATTTGCATTTTGCCTAATTACATAAGAAAAGAATCAAGATTCTAAAGATCCATTAATGAACTTAAAATCTCAAACCAGAACCGGGGGAGATAATAAATAAAAGACAAAATTAATGTTTTCTTCTTTTAAAGTATGTTTTAATTTTGTCTTTAACTTTTTTTTATTCATTTTAGTTTCTCAATTTTCAAAAATGATTTAATTATATTCTTTTATGTTAAAAACATTAATTTTGTTGAAAAATTGTTTCTTTTTTATACTGTTCATCATCTCAAATATTTAATGTGCATCCTCTTTCATCTCTTCTTCTTCCTCTTTTCTCACCGTGGATGAATAAATGATATTATGTTTCTAAAACTTTACACCATTGCTAACAACCTTCTTAAAAAGATGATGCACGGTAAGGCAACACAATAATATTGTCTCTCTTTGAATGGTGGTGGCATCATTTATATGAAGTTTGAAGAAAAAGAAAAAAATGAAAGGGAGAAGGAGGAGAACACAGATCAAATATCTTAAAAAGATGATGAATAATACACATGACAGAAAAATACAAATTTTTAATATAATTAGCGATTTTAATAGAAAAAAACTTATTTAAAATATTTTTAAAAATTAGAAAATTAAAATAAATAAATATAAAGTTAGAGGGTGAAATTGAAATTTAAAAAAACAAAAACACTAAAAGCATGATTGATTTCTATCTAAGGAATACAATTTTAGCCTATGCCAAAGTAGGGAAGAAAACTTGAGTTTAATGCAATCAATATGATATCATATGGGAAATCAGAAATGTGCATTCTAAAGGTTTGACTAGTTTTACTCTTCTGAGTTTACCTATCTATCAATGACAAATTGCAAGGGATGTTACTTCAAAAGATTAAAAAAATTTATTTTGAATTTATATTTATTATAATTTAATATATTTTTAACGTATTTTTTAATTAGAAAATGTATTTTAAAAATTTGTAACGTATAGTTTAAGAATACTCGGTAGCATGATCGTATACAAATTACTCTGGCTGCAGGCTGACTATAAACATTGGGTAGTTGCTCAACTTGGACTGCCTCCGTCGGAAAAATGGAGGGAGGAAATGGGTAAGGAGTGCTTTAAGAATTTTGCTGAAATCAACCAAAATTTCAGAGATGAATGGGATGATACTTATTGGGATGCAATCATTCAGAGTACACCCACTTCGTAAAATTAAAGATATTGCATTTCCAATGACAATTATTGAGCTTCTCTCTTTTGAATACTTGCTATTTTTTTAATAATATACTAAAGAGTTTTATTAATTTTTGTTATTGTATTATTGAAGTTATAAAAATAAATAAATATTTCTCAATTATAAATTATTATACGAGTGAATATTGATATTTATAATTTTTTAATATTTTTTTGTAATTTACAATTTTATAACTGTTTTGTTTAGATTTTATTTAAAGATATGAGATTCTTCCGTTATATATTTAAGTATTTTATTTGTATTGAGGTAATATGATGTGAAATGAAATTGAAATTTTTATTTTTTTTTTACTTATTTTTTATAATTTTATATTTATTTTATAATACATTATTAGACGAAATTTATTATATGTTGTCAACATTTTATTACCTTGTTCATTAAAAAAATAAAAAATAAATTTATAATTTTTTTAATAATTTTTTATGATATTGCTGCTGCGCAAGAGTAAATGTTTGAAAAGTTAAGAATACTTTTTTTAAATATTATCATCAGAAAAAAAATTTTCACATAATTTTAATTGAGATAAAATTATTAATAAATTTTTTTACGAATACAAATTTATAAATATAATAATTAAAATAAATAAATAATAATAAATTTTTATAAAAAATAAAAGTAAAATAACATCATATCTTTATTTAATAATATTTTTTTTTGTAATAATGTGTATGGGGTCTCGTACCTATAATATTTTACTATTAATAGAGTCGTGAAAGCTAAAGTTAACCAAACTCTATAATAAATATATTTTTAATATTGTAGTAATTATTAAATTGCGCAGTGCAACGAGATATCCAAGACCCCTTTCTCCTTTCAATGAATCACTCTGTGAAAGTCGCGGTAATCGGTGCAGGCGTTTCGGGCCTCGTCGCCGCACGCGAACTCCAACGCGAACGCCACAACGTCGTCGTTTTCGAACAAAACGACCGCGTAGGAGGAAACTGGGTCTACGACCCGACAACAGAATCCGACCCTCTTTCTCTTCACCCGAACCGCAAAACCGTCCACACCAGCGTCTACGTCTCCCTCCGCACTAACCTCCCGAGAGCACTCATGAGTTTCCGCGATTACCCGTTCATGAGGACCCGAACCGACCCGAGAACGTTCCCGGGTCACGACGAGGTGCTCCGTTTTCTTGAGGGGTTTGCGGGCGAGTTCGGGATCCGAGAGGTGACCCGGTTCAACACTAAGGTGGTGCACGTGGAGAGAAGAGGGGAGGAGTGTGTGGTTGAGTCTATGACTCGGGGATCCGATTCGGTGACCCGAGAAGTTTTCGAAGCGGTTGTGGTGTGTTCGGGTCATAATTCGGCTCCAATAATTGCAGAAATTGCTGGGATTGAACAGTGGAGAGGGTACCAAATGCATAGCCATAACTATCGTGTACCTGAACCTTTTCACGACCAGGTACATTCCCGCCGATGTTTATATTATTAAATTAAATTAATATTAATTCTTGACTCTTAAGACTTAATATATAACCATATAATTTCAATAAAATTTATATAAGGAATGCTTTAATAATTTTTAAAAAGTTATATGAGAATAACAGTTTCTTAAAAGAGTTAATTTATAAATAAGCGTGAATATTTCTTTTTATTTTTACAAGAGAGATTAAAAATTTCTCATATTGATTCATTGTAAAAATATTAATTTTTAAGAATAATTAATTGTAAATGTATTATTTCTAAAAACTGAGAAATAATTAAATATACATACAGTTTGGTCACTTGTGGTTGTTTCCGTACTCGAAAACGATTCTGTTGGATTGTGTCCACACTTTTCTTTTTATGAAATGTGTACTACACCCATTGATCGAATAAAGTGTTCACTTATTATATATTTTATAACTTGTAAAATTAGACTTTTTTTAAAAAAATAAAATGCATAAAATAAGAAACTGAAAATTATTTTATTTAATTTTAAATCAAAGTATCTTAGACACTTAATATAATATACTTTGTTTTATTTTAAAAGCGACAAATTTATAAACTTATTAAGTTGTAAATAATTTTCTACTTCAGTAAATACTGTGATCAATTCTAAATTTTATTATTAAATTAGTCTTATTGGATCGTCAGATGTATGTGGTACAAACTTTACAAACCAAATGTTTCACTTTAAGATTTGAAAACATTGATCTTATATTTTTAAAAAAGAAATTAAATAAAATGAAATTTTAAGAAAATAAAATTTAAATTTTTTTAATAAAGTAATTTGAAATTAAAGTTTTAAAATAAATAATTGTAATAATTTATTTTAAATTTTAAATTTTAAATAAATTTTAAAGTCTAAAAATATCATGTCTGTGGTTTACTTAATAATTACCTTTAACTAAGTATACAAGTTGTAACGAGTGAACCTTAGATATTATAATATTTGTTTGTATAATCCATATCTTAAAAAATTATTTTGAACACTCTTATATTTATTAGATAATAATATTCATTTCTATTTTCATACTTATTAGTTATCTAAATTCTCATACTCGTTATTTGCAGTTTGTTAATTAAAATGTAAATTTTTTTAACAATTTTTTTACCAACTAACAAAACAAAATATTATTATAAAAAAAAAGTACTTTTTAAATATAATAAAAAATTACAAGTAAAGTCATTCATCCTAAATCAGATAAAATACTAAATTATAATATAATATATCATAAAATTATAACAAAATCATTTATTTAAAATTTTAATTTTAATTATGTTTATGCTTATAATATTTGTGCACGTACATGCAAAAGATTATATATATATATATGCGTGTATTATAATATTTTTATTCATTAAATTGTTTGAATATTTATCTATATTTAATTCTTAATCCATTAAATATTAAAAAAGTACTTATTTTATTTATTACAAATATATATATATATATATATATATATATATATATATATCTTTTGTGAATATCTAATAAGTGTAGAATTCATCAAGAAAATTAATGCCGAAGCATGTGATGGATATTATAATCAATTATAATTTAATATGGAGATTAAACTTTTAAAATTCAAAAATTAAAATACTTGAGTTAAATTAAAGACATTAATTAAGGAATTTAAATATTTAATTTAAAATTCAATTAAATAATTAAATTAAAAGTCAATTAATTTAAGATATAGTTTTTTTTATTAGAAAGTATGGAAAGAAATTTTATAATTTTTTTAATTCAAAATTTTAAGAGAAAGAAAGAGAAAATGAGGGTTGAAATCCTGGCCTCTTCTCATTTGTATTACTTCACCTCCAACATGGGTAGAAATGGACAAGAAATTTTGGTAAAAACAAATTTGTGTCTGGAAATGTGATTATTTGAATTGAAGACATAACTATTTAGAAATTTTTTATACAAAGATTATGACTTATTCATATGAAGTTGTACCTAAGACATAATCATGCCTATGGTTGATAATAGTTTATTTTTAATAATTAATATTTTTATTTCAAAAGGTTTTCTTAAAGTTAAAAAAATAAACAACATTATTATGTAATACAAATTTTATTTTGTACAAAATTGACTTGTATAATTTTTATTGAATAAATACTTAAATTAAAAAATAAGGTTCTTTGAATGAATTTGTAATAAGTTCTTGTAAGAGAATAAAATTAATATAAAAATAGTAATAAAATTATTTTCATAAGTTAAAATTAATTTATGCTTTTTTATTTAACTTCTTTAAAATTTAAAAAGATAAATCATTTTTAATTTATAAAATAATTTTTATTTATTTTTTATATTATTTTTATTTTTCAACAAAATTTTATTTACAAGTTTACCCAGATAAGACCTAAGTAAAACTAGAGAATGTAATTAAAATTTTATTCCATTTGTAGTAGATGACTTTCTGGTATGGAACTTCATACTAAATATTATTTTTTAAATAAAAATAATAATTTCTTTAAAATATAAAACCATTATATATTAATTACCAATGTAAAATTTTTCAACATAAATTTTATAATTAATAATAGCTGTTTCAGTATCCACGATTTGAAATAAACACTAATAGTATGCTTTTATCTCTGTTACAAATGCTATTGCTCCAAAGTTGTTTTTTTTTCTTTTTCACTTGGTAAAAGAATATTGGTGAAGTCTTATAAATTGAGATTTCCATATCAAATTGAGTTTCTCACGGCCCTTGTCTACCACAGTTTAATTTCAAAATAAAGAACATTGCACAAAAAATAGATAAGCATTCTAATTTTTTAAATTATAAATTTCAAATTATTATAAAACTTTTTTATTTAATTTTTAGTTTTATAAAAGATTATTTATTTAAAATTATTTTTTACTGTTATTTTATATTAAAAATACTACTGAAATAAACGTTATGTAAAGTGAAAGATTAAAATAAAAATCTTGTGAAGTTGAAAATTAAAGTAGTTGATATAATTTTAAGAGTTAAAATAGAGGTCTACTTAAGAAAAAAATTGTAAATTAGTCTCTCAAAGATTTAAAACATCTTCATAGTAGTCCTTAAAAACGATTAAAACATTAAAAAGGGAGAGAGCTTGACTTGTTAATAAATTAAATTTTTACTAAATCAATTATTATTGAAAACTAAAATAGGCAACAACAAAAAAAACATATGATTTAAATGATTTAAGAATAATTTGGTTGCTCAAATTTGTAGACGATCTACCCTTAATTAAATTGATTTACCCATTGTTTATTCAGAAACTGAAGTGCTTATGTCCTTATTTTGTTACATACTTACATAATTCATTGGTATTCTCTACTTAACACAGATTGTGCTTTTAGTTGGTAATGGACCCAGTGCTTTTGATATCTCACTAGATATTTTACCAGTGGCAAAGGAGGTTCATATAGCAGCTAAACCCAATCCATTTGGTGTGAGGTTTGAAAATGTACGATACCATGATATGGTATGTATACATTTAATTATTATCTAAATCTATTTGAGATGCATTGATACTGTGATTCAATTTTAAATTGTTATAATTTTTTATTTTTGTAATATTAATATAAAATTATATTTAATTTATATTTTAATTAATTAACAACATAGTATATCAAAATTAAACTCTTATTATCTTACTAGGCAGATTATCATCTCTACAATCTGTAAAGTTTTGAGAAAAAAAATGACAGTTTAAGAGTCTTGGATTAAAAAAAAAAAAAACTTGACAGGAGGATTAAAATTGTTTAATTTTAAAAATAAAAACAAATAATTCCCAAAAAAAATTACACATGATGCAAATTAGAAAGATTAAAAATATAAGTACACTTAATTATTACGATAGAGTATATTATAATCAGTTATTTTAGTACTCTAAAATGTAAAAGTGTTTATTAAGCCATGTAATCTCCAGGCCTATTTTGGATAAGAACGCTTGTTAAACAAAAGTGAACATATTTATAAGTTTTAACATGTCAATCGGTTACTCCGTAAATTAGAATATGTGGTGTGCTATTGCAGGGTTTAATTTAAAGAGACTTTTAAATATGTAAATGGATATTTTATAATTATATATTTTAAGAAGAATGATTTTTTAACCACAACGAAATTTGACAAAAACAATTAAAAAAAACAGTGCTTGAATGTGCTTTCGAGAAAAAAGAAAAAAAAAAAACCTAAAGCTTTTTGAATTTGGTTAATCCTTTTAGCTTATTTGTTTTGGTATGATATGCTATTGATGCTTGTAGTTTTGTTTTCTTTGCAGATAAAATGTGTGAATGAAGATGGCTCTATTGCCTTTCAAGATGGATCATCAATTTTTGCAGATACCATAATCCACTGTACTGGGTATAATCAGAAAGTTTCATCGTTTTTATCTTCAAAAGTATCCGAAGCTAAGTAATTAACCAAAAGTAATTGAAAGTATAACATTTAATATTATTAATACATTAATATTAATGTTACAATAACTAGTATCTTCTAAATACTTGAATTGGTAAAGATCCTTCAAGAATTCATTGATGTTATATTATAAGTGTTGTTGCAATATCTTTGACTGATAACAACTAATATTAGTGAATGATATTGTGCCTAAATGTGTTTGACAGATACAAATACCATTTTCCGTTTCTTGAAACCAATGGAATTGTAAAGGTTGAAGACAAATGTGTTGGGCTGTTATATAAGCACATCTTTCCTCCAGCATTAGCACCTTGCCTCTCCTTCATTGGTATTGTCTCAAAGGTTATATTGATGATTGATTAGTTTATTCACCATATATATAATCCTCAGATACTATTTGGGCCAAATCAGCAAATTTGGTTAATAATGATTAAATTATTGGCTAACAAGGTGTATAAATTGATTAATGGACTAATACTTTTTAATATATTTAATGTGATTTGTAAAACAAAAAATTAAAAAGTTGTCAATTTATTAGATTAGTGTTTTAACATTTTATAAAACAAATCAATTATAAAAAATGTGTTAAAAATATATTTAAAAGTGTTTCTACTATTAGTAAATCAAGTTTGAATAGGGTCAAAATTTAAAATAAAACGAGGAGGAGGTAGGGTTAAATAAAGTGATTATAGATGGAGTCGACCGTATAAATTTGAGTTGAAATCTTTCTTAAAAGAAAGATGTCTTAAATTAGGTGAATTCATAATAATAAGTAAAATTTATTCAATTTTGTTTAACGTATGCTCAACATATGATAAATAATTAATTGTTATTTGAAATTGTAACATTTGTTATTATTGATCCATTAACTTCTATGATATCTTATGAATTTTAATTAAAAAAAAATTAATATACATGAATACACATATTCATGTATGAAGAATTGATTTTTATTGTAAGCAATAATTAAACTCGGTGTCACTGAATCTTATATATATTATTAGTAGAAATTACAGTACAATGAGTGAAGTTTATTAAAATTAGAAGCTCTATGTAATTTTGTAATTTCTAAATCAATTTTAGTCAATAATACAAGGTATACTAGAAAATATGTCAATAAATTTTCTCATTTTGAATATTCATTTCCCTTTTAATAATTATCGAATTAAATAATATTGTGTAACTGATAAGGTGAAGAACTTGCTGTAACCAGGAGCCTATCTTCCTTATTGTTGAATTACAATCCATCTATGTTTCAAGAGTGTTATCTGGTAAGATTCTTTTACCTACAGAAGAGGAGATGATGGATTCTGTTCAAGATATCTATGGAGAAATGGAGAAAAATGACTTGTCCAAAAGTTGTGCTCTTTCCCTTCGTCCATTACAGGTATCTACATTTTGTTTAATTTGTTTTGGGTATTTAAACTGCATTTTAGAACCTTGTGTCATGAATGAATAAGGATGAGAAGTGATTAATGTGCAGCAAAATTTATTGTTCATTAATAGTAATATTCAGAAAATTTGTACTCTTATACACAACATGGGCAATTTCATATATGATAAAGAATAAGGATGAGAAGTTCCTCCTATGCCCCATTAAGATATTGAGCATGTTCTTGGTCCTTCAGTTGTAATATTAAAGAAACTCATCATTTATTATCATTTACACATGCAAAACTATGAATTATTCTTGTAGTTAAAATCAAGGTAAACGTTAATCAGTACTGGTGAATAATTAAAAGAGAAAAACATTATTAAAAAAATGTTATTATTGTATATTTAACATAACTTTTTATTTATTCTAAATATGATTTTTAATAATCTATTTTTGTCTCTCTAATCAGCCCTCTTAAAACACAAGTTAATAGGATTATAAAATTAATCAATACTTCGTTTGAAATTATCTAGCAGGAAGATTACAAACATTGGTTAGCTGCTGAAGTTGGGTGGCCTCCTTTGGAAGGTTGGAGGGAAGATCTATTGGCAGAGTGCTTCAAGAAATTAAGTGAATTGCCGGACAAATACAAAGACCAATGGGATGATGCTTATTGGGATACCATTCTTCAAACTTCATCTTCTTCCTAAAGACAAAGATGGTGTTCATTTTCTTCTACCACAGAAAAATAAATAAAGATTGTACCCTCAAATTCATATCCAAACTTGATTTTTGGGTTATTTACCCATATATTCCTACATCTAATTGTGATTCCTACTTAGTCACTAGCATTTAAATTTGAAAACAAACTTGAAAAGATCAATAATATACTCGATATTAGATAAATTTTACTATAATTAGTTTATTAAACATTTTGTCTAATTGATCGATCGTCTGCCATAAAACAGTATGATTATGTAAATATAATGTTATGTTGAAAGAATTTATGTCAAAACTAGAATATTATAGTTATCTCTAAAATATTTTAATTAATATTAAATAATATCATATATACAAGTAATGGTATTAGGTACCAACTAAAGGCATCATAATAATAGTAAATAATATTATTACAATGTGTTATCCAATATTTAAATATGAGGGAATAATTTTTAATATAATATTTATACAATTATTTTTTTTTTATTTAAAGTGCTAAAGATGACGTCTTCTTGCGAAATCGCATAAACACTCAAGTTTTTTATAATCTACACAAAGGTTACGCATAATTTCGGTTTATGGTGTGTAGGTCAGTTTTTTTAAAGTCTATGTAATAATAATATAAAAATATTTACGTGATGAAAGTTTTCTCTACTAATTTTTCTCTTTAGTATAAATATTTTTTAATAGTTATACTTTTTTCTCAATTAAATCTGGAGAAATCTAAAGTTTTAAAGAATCAAGCTCTATCTTTTTTAAATTTGTGGAGTATACTCTTTCACCTCTAGTTTCTTTTTCTTTTCTTATATTTAAAATGTGTAACTAAAATTCTTATGTCAGAGATAAATCAATTTTATTTTAAATTTTGAATAAATTAATCCTTTTTCTGTTCTCAACCATTTATTTCAAATAGTGCGAATGCTTTTATTTTGATTGATGCTTTTAGACAAGTCATTAAAGAGATAATTTGAGATTCAAATGCATAGTTAAAAAACTTGTGTTGAATTAAAGTTGAAGTAACTTTTTCATCAGCTTAGATTTTAGGAATAGAATTTAGTTATTTTTTTTAATGATTTTTAATACTTATAGCTTGCTTGACTTAGAGTAACCGCTTCTAGGTAAGAAGGTTGACAAAATCTAGGATGAAAGTCATTGAGAAAGAAAAATTCCAATAATAAAAATTGAATTGTGGCTTCTTCTTCTTTTTTATATCAAAATGAGACAAATTGAAAAACAATTTCTTAAGATAAGTTCGTTTAAAAATATATTCTCAATCTGTGATTATTTTTGTCACGTCATCTCAACTATTGTAGTTGATTAATAGTGTACAACCAATTAAACTTTAAACTAAACTTGTTTTGAATATTTGTAAGGATAACAGTGTACAATTAATTAAACTTGAAACTAGAAACATCCTATATGTTTTTAAGGCCAATCGAAAGTCATTTATACGAACATAATTACTAATTCAACTAAGAGTCTCCAAAACTAATGGGAGAACCAAAAGAAACCATGCTCATTTTCAATCTTGTAAGAGAAGTCATTTTTAGGTACACAACATTCAATTACAAGGAATTTATAACATAAAAATCTTCTTCTTTTTTTGCCAATTAAGAATAATTTCATGAATATTATATTTTTATATGATAATTTGAGCCCATAATTTATCTTTGTGATGTTACAGTTGTCAAACTGATTTTTCAAATAAATAATATTTATATCATGAGATTTTCTCAAAATGAAGCTTCTTACATTCTTGGATTAAGTAACAACAATCCAATTAGCAAGACATAATCCACATCATTATTAAAGATAAAAAAAAATATCTTAGGTGATAACATCTAACTAAATGGAAGATGAAATTTATAGAATTTGTTTAACATAGTAAGTAATAAGAGAATGTAAATACAATAATACAAATATAATAGGAGAGCAATAAATATCGAAAAAAAATATTCTTTCAAACTTGCAAGAATTAGTAAAGAGCACTAATAGAAATAGAAACATAAAATAGCATAAGAGAGAAACAATTGTTAATGTGTAAAATTTATCAAAGTAAGAGTAAAAAATTATGAGTCGTCTAAACTAAAGAAACAATCTATTATAATCAACAAAAGATACAAGAAAGTCTCTAATAAATGCACAAACTGTGCTTCTAAATATCAAAGCTGTAACGCCCCTAATTTTGTAATATTAATTATTGATAATTATATAAATCTAAATGTAATTTTATGTATGTATTTTTTTTAGATATATGTCGTGAATATGTATGTGTGTGTGTATATATATATATGTGTGTGTATGCATGATTGGTTGGGCTAAAATGGGCTAAGTGCCTAAGTACAGGGCGAGATACTGGGCTGTTCTCGCTGCAGCGAGAGGATTCTTACTGTAGTGAGAGGGTCCTGGGAGGAAGGACCAGAACTGTCACCTTCTTGCTGTAGCGAGAGACGTCTCGCTCTAGCGACAGTTTGGGGTGCATTTCTGGGTGCAGTCTCGTTGTAGCGAGATTCTGCAGAAACCAGAGTACAGTTTTCTCTGATTTTTTCGCTGTAGCGAGGGAGTGTGTCGCTGCAGCGAGAGTGTCATGACCAGAAAAGGATTTATAGGGGGCTAGGGTTCGGGGAGAGTAATTTCTCCCTCTCCCTTCGAAATCCCTTCGATTCTCTCACTCCCAAACCCTATTCCACCGATTAATTGCCTCCAAAGTCGTTCAGGAGCAAGATTGGAGCTCGGATTTGTGTGAAGAACGCTTGGAGGTGAGTTTTAAACGGTTAGGGTTTTCGTTTTCCTTCCCTTTCTCTGTTCTTGGTAATTTTTGAGGTTCTCATGTAATTCCTCCATGTGTTTAGGCCGAAAGCCGTGTGGAGAGCATTTCCATGATTGAGTTCGGACGTGGGTCTTCAATCCAAGGTAAGGGGGGACTCTACCCTACTCCTTTATGTGTGATTTGCTGATATTTTGTGTGATATTGTGATGTGGCGGAGTAGAGGATAGGAAATTGCTGAGATATGTGATGTGGACACTTGTGCCGTTTATACATGTGTGTATATCTGAATGAACATTATGAAAATGTGGGCCCAAGGATCGTGTAATATGAATGGAAATAGGCTAGGGGTCGTGTGTCTTGAATGAATTGTGGGCTATGTGTTGTGTGTGCTGTGAAAATAAAATGTGGGCCTAGTGTCGTTTACTATTAAATGTGGGCTATGTGCCGTATACTGAAATGTGTGTGATTGGGGTGTGTAACGCCGTTGTAATGTGTTGTTAATGGTTCAACGATACACTGAGAGTGTAGGAGATGAGGACGGTAGAAATACCTTGGAGAAGAGGGAGTAGTGGTGACACCGACTCTAGAACGAGTGCACCAAAAGCCACACACTCTCTTCCTGACTAGACCTCTGACCATTACCTTTGTTGAGCGACCCGTGACTGCCCACGTGGTATCCGTGAGGCGGGAGTAACCGGCGACCATTCATGGTGTAAATCTGTTATCACAGTGTCAATGTGAGTGTGGCTGGCATGCGTAGACACGGGTTTATGAATTATGCTTATAGATATGATGATGTTGTCTGTTATTGTATTTGTTTAATGTATTGAAATATACTGATGAATGATGTTGTTTGTGTTATATCTGTATAAATGTATTGGAAATGTGTTGGAGGTAAGACTCTATGTTGATTGTGTGTTTTGGGTAGTGTAGAGTACTCACCCTTACATTCATTTTTCAGGTAATCAAGACGATCCCGGACTCAGTAAAGGGGTAGATGGAACTGCTATAGGACTTAGGACATTATTTGAAAACTATTGTATTTTAATAAGCCTTGTAGCAACTGTTCGATATAATTCAGAACCCCTTTTCTTTATTTGATATAGTTTATGAAACTTGAGTCAAAATGACCATTTTATTATTCCAAAAATTTGTGAAATTTCTTATTTATTAAAATTAAATTTAAGGTGTTACAAAAGCATATAAAGCACTAATACTTATAAACGAGAAATAAAAAGATGAAAAAAAAACTTCAATTACAAAATATAAAATTGTGATATTTGTTTCTCCCTCCAAACTTTTCTTGATGATCCAGTCAGATAAAATAATGATTCACATGTGAAAAACCTGCTGTTAAAAAATCATCCCAATCCAATATGAATAAACTTGCAGTTGTAATATGAAAAATGAGGTGGTGTGTAAAAATAATAATATGTTATCTTTCTTTCTACTCTTTTGATGTTTTTGCTACAATATGACTCTCTTTTTCATATCACACCTCTCCACTAGTTTTAGTGAGATATAATGGACAACATATTTAATTTTTTTTCACATAAGAAAAAAGCCCAAAAAACTAACACTAAGTTATAGCAGAAATCACAAAAAAAGTTATGACTAATCTTTCAACTTTATTAAGAATATTTTCTTTCCAACTAACAAAATTGTTTTGAAGTTTTTTGACAATGAAATAAAAATATATTTTTATCTAAGAAATTTCAAATATACCTATACTAGAAACAAATATAATATCAGTAATATAGGGAAAAAAATCATTTTATTGTTGGAAGGTTTTTTATAGTAGAAAGATTGATGAATATTAATTTTCAAGCCAAAAATCCTATATAATTTTTTCTGTAATATCATGAGCATTTATAACACACCTAAGATGTCGTTGTTTTAACAAATCATTTGCAAAGAGAAAGTTATATGTTAAGGTCATTCTTGGCGATAATAATACAATTTCATCTTTTCCTAACACCTTACTTATTGATATTAATCAAATCTCTCATACAAAGAACAAATAAATAAGAAGATAAATGATTTTTTTCTACCGAAGCCTCTTTTGTGCTAAAAGGAAAGTATCTTATGAGCATTCTAGAGAATATCAATAGAAGTAGTGACAAAAATATATTGTTAAATTAATAAGAACAATAACAAATACTAATTTTTGCAAATTATGTTTAAAAAGGTGTTAATCAATTCTATCAATAGTCTTTTTAAGATTCAATTTAAAATTAATGTCTTTAATTTTTTTAGAAGAATGAGACATAATATGAATTATCTCATACAAAACAATAACATCATTTAGTGTATTTGTTCCCTCAGGATGAAACTACTTTGAATGAATCTAACGATATCACCAATAAAAGATATAATCCTATAACAATGACTTAATAATACTTTTATATAAAAAAACATCTAACAAAACAAAAATTCGTAGAATTGAAAGAATTATCAATTTTAGGAACAAGAAGTACCAATATTTCAGCCAAGGAAGTAAAGTAAACATTTAAAAAAAAAAAAGTTAGTTGTACTAACTTCCAAACATAAAAACTTGTTTTCTACATTATTTATATATAAGATCCAATATTATATGTTAATTATATTCATCAAAGAATAAGAAGTTTTGTAATAATAAAAAAAGGAAGAGATTATCAAAGATAAATTTATAAAAGATTGAAAAGACAAAGTTAGGTGAATATTTTTTTTATGAACTATGAACTAATTATGAATTTTTTTTTAATTTCTAATTTTATTTGTTGATTTATGTAAATTACATTCAGTTCTAATAATTTTAACTTAAGAATATATCATTGATCAATTTATTTGTATATATATTTTTTACTACATTGTAGTATTAATATAGTATTAAAAAAAATATTAACTACACTATAAACTAAAATATAATTTTATATTACATAAAAATTGATAAATAAAATAATTATATAATTTTTAAAATTTATTAATTTATGTAAATTATTATTAATTATTGTAATCTTTAATATATGTTCATAATTTTTTTAAATTATTTTTTTATAAAATATTTTAAAATTTACTATAATGTTATATATATATTCTTATACCAGTGAAATTCTAAAAACTCTTACACTTAATTTAAACTTTTCATTTAACTTATATCTAACGACTATTGAAGTAATATATATATATATATATATATATATATATATATATATATATATATATATATATAGACAGAATCTTCTTACACCAGTATAAATTTAAAAACTCTAACACCAAATTTGAACTTTTCATTTAACTTACATTCTGTTAGATATAAATTAAATGAAAGATTCAAATTGGGTGTAAGAATTTTTATACTTTCACTACTCTTTGTAAGGATATCCTTCCTATATATATAAAATTCATAACACTACAATATTATTATAACATTAAATACATATTAACTATACTATAAATTGAAATACACGTAATTAATTTTTTAAGTTATATTTTTATTTATTTATTTATGTAAATTCTTATTAATTATCAACTGTTAGTTTTCTTGAAAAATTTGTTTATTTTTAATAAAATTATAAAGTAATACTTTTATTTTAATTGTTTAATTTAAATTTATCACTTATATATATATATATATATATATATATATATATATATATAAATGAATGAATAATTAAGGAAAGACATTTTTCTTTTTCTTTTCCTCTTTAAAAAAAGGTAAAAGTGTAATAATGCACTCTGTATGTGTGGAGCAAAAACAGAAAAAGTTGAGATTGAAACGCAAGTGTGGCATTTGGCTATTTCAAGTTTGCAACCCACATGTGTCGTCCTTAAAAGAAGGAAAACAAATGGTATCATCAGCTACGTGGTCCCTTCGACACGACACCGTTTCCTCTGCCACACGGATCTGCCTGAAAGAATTTTAGCATCTCTCTCAATCTCAAGTAAAGTTGCAAACTTTTTCCAATTTTACTCTCTGGGTTGGCTTCAAAATCTGTGTTAAGAAACTTTTCGTGAGCACTTTTTATATTCTAAATTCTAATTGTTCAAGAACTTTCTATTGATATCATGATACTAACTTTTCCCCCCTCCTTTTGGGCTTATTCAATTTGCTTAATGTTAGAGCTCTGAATTGTGATTTGAACATTACAAGCAATGGTGAAGGACACAACCTATTACGACGTATTAGGGGTCAATGTTGATGCATCTGCTGCAGATATCAAGAAGGCTTATTATATCAAGGTAATGAATACCCTTCAATTTTCTGATTTGTGCAAGAAAAAACTGAGATTTGAGGATGCTATTTTTAGCATATATGGTTTGTTGATAAAAAATAATGGATCCACGTTTGCTTCAACACTAATATTGGATTCACGTTTACTGGTTGTTCACTGTGTTTTCAAACACCTTTATTACCTGAACTGGAAAAATTTTGGATTTGATTATACACTGTACTTTTGTTTTATAATAATTTAGGTGGTTATATAAATCTGGCTTCAGTTTGTTATTTAAAATTTTTCCCAGTCTGAGATCGGTATTAGTCCGTTCAGATATCTCAGCTGCTTTGGGTATTTTAATATTTCCTAGTTGGAATTATTTTTCAAATTTTCAGATCAATAAGCCTCATAGATTGAGTTTCTGCAATTGCCTAGTTATCGTATTCTGCCTGCAAATGTGCAAACCCTTAATGTGGTGCCGACCTTCATCATTTGCTAGTCTGCTAAGATGATGTGACTTTTTCCATTAGAACATACCCTTAATTTAGTCCCCAAAGTTGCATGCATCAAGTCCTCCAAAAATTTTAGCCACATATTTGTCCTTCAAATATTTTAAGTGCCTTCAAAGATTTAAAGCGTCACATTGTCACCATATTAGTCTTCCAAAATTTCTATCACCACATTAGTTCCTCACCATTTTAATTTATCAACAAATTTGATCTTTAACATTCTAAAATGGAGGACTAAAGTGGTGACAAAAATAATCTTTGATGAGCTAATTTGGTGACCAAAATTGTTGAAGGACTTATATGATGACAATTTGGAGGACTAAATTGAGGGTTTACTTGATTGGCTCTGTTTAACTATGCGGTTATTTCATGAGCTATTGAGTTGGGATTTGGGTGAATTGTAGGATAGCAAAGGAAATATTAGCTCGCTTGTATTTCTAGATTTGATATTTAGAATATTATGTTTATGCTAGTGTTTTACATTTTCTTTTTCATCTGAATGAATCTATTTTTTTGGTAGAGCTTGATAATTTCTCCTTTTTGTGACTTTAATGATTGGTGGTGGTGATACATGAATTCCTTTCTCTACCCTTTGTAGGCAAGAATAGTTCACCCTGATAAAAATCCTGGAGATCCGAAGGCTGCAGAAAATTTTCAGGTAAGCACTAAGAAGCTGAATTTTGGCTTCATAATGCTAACCAATATTACTGGATTTCATTGACAAAATTATTTATATCTTTTTGTTAAATAATTGGTCATTGTATAAGAAATAGGAGAACGTATACATTTGGATCTCTCCCTCTGTTCAGTTTGCTTTAATTTTCCTCAATATATTTTTGTGTTTGGTATCTGTATCAGATGCTTGGTGAGGCTTACCAGGTTTTAAGTGATCCAGAGAAGCGTGAAGCATATGATAAGCATGGAAAGGAGGGAATACAACAGTAAGTTAACCTGACTGAACAGTAGTTAACTAATAATAGCTTGCAAGCAATTAAGCTTCATCTAATGGTGAAGTTCTGTCTTTTCAATTCAAAGATAACTTGTGTTGAACTGTCAATTATAAATCAATTTCTGATATAGTTGTTTAATATCTTTCATCAACTTATCCTCTTTTCAGCTGTCACTATATTCAATTATTAGTCATATTCAAACTGAGTATTATAAACCAAAAATATGAATTATTCACTAAATACACTATGTTTGTGTTCCTGACTAGATACTAATGTGATATGAGTCCAGAAAATAGGTTTACAGCTACTCTAAAAGAAAGTAAAAATTAAAAAAAAAAAGAGAGGCTAAATTGCATTGTTGGGCCCTTTCGGTCTTTTTCTTCCTCCTCTCCTCTTGGCTGGGATCTGCCAATACTACAGTGCTCCTCCTACCTGGACTCTGCTGTTTAGTAACTGAGTAGAGACCAACGCACAAATTTGTTATGCCCAAAATTTTCTCAACAGCAAAGCAAGAATCATCCAGGTACAGGCACAACTTCGCAACGTCAACAATCTCCTCTCATTGTACCACTTTGAACCCACGTGTTCTCCTTCGAAGGCTTACCTATGAGGCAATGAAGCGTGCAAGTTGGCACTGGAGAATCTTTCAAACGAGGTTTACGAGATGGAGTGGGACCTGATAATGATCAACACACCCAAAGGGTACTTTGAGGAGGCACTGGGGAGAATGGTCACCATGTTCTCTGCTGCAGTTATGGCAAGGAATAAGAAGGGATATGGTGTGATGCACGAGCTCTTGCACGATTTGGATTGGAAGGTGGAGAAGGCTTATGCGGAGGAGTTTCTTTGTAAGAAGAATTTGGTGAAGGGTGTTGGAAGGCTTTGGCACTTTCAGATACCCCCTTCTAAGGACACTTCTCATTTTTGCTGAATCATCCAATTTCTTCCTCTTTAATTCTTGTAATGGTTGATTCTTGCTTTGTTATTGAGAAAATTTCTGGGGTCATAACAAATTCGTGTGAGTTGACCTCTACTTGGTTACTCAACGGCAGAGTCTAGGTAGGAGAAGAGGAGGATCACTATTGGCAATAGCGGATTCTGGCCAAGAAGAGAGGAAGAAGGAGAAGACTGAACAGTTGCCATTAAAAATTGGATGACAACTTAATGGAAGGACTAAATTTGCTTAATTAAGAAAATAAGGGAACTAAAATCGAACAAACAGAAAAGTTGGGAGATCAAAAATGCAATTTAGCCAAAAAAATAATAATAATAACAAGAGGAAAAAGATAAGAGACACAATTGCCACTATCAGGGGCCTATTTCTTGGTTACCCTAATATATGCACAATCCTAGTGTTCCCTCCCCCCCCTCCCCCTTCCCCCTTCTTCCTTCTTATACTCACTAGTCACTACCTATCAGAATTTCACTTCCTAAAATCGTCAGGCCTCCCCTTATTGCCCCTCTCATACCTCAGATTTCCCTCATGGTCCGGGATAGGAGGGTGTGCCTAACATGGTGTATGTTCATATTAAACATGAACATAAATAGAGTTGTAGAGTTGTTTGCATAGAGAGAACCTGTAATTTGACCTCACTGTGCCAATCCTTTGAATATTTTCAACTATGATGATGAGCTATCAAAATTATAGTGGGGACCTACTACCCAAGGAATCATACTATCTGCTACAGCTGCTAAATCTAGCAGGTCACCATGCATCAGCTTATCATTTATTTTTTTCCCACTACTGGTGGCATTGTAGATTTATTATGCAAATAATGTGCTTTTTGAATGGCTGTCACTGTTGTATTTGCCTGTGATGAACATGGGACACCATGCCTTGCTTACAAGAATACAAAACAGGAAAAAATAAACTAAAATTAATATCTAACACAATAACTCCCAATATCAGTGTCAATCTATCAACCCAATTCAGGCTTGATTATTTAAACAGAATCTCCTATAATCTTCATTATTTGTTAAATGCTTTAAGATGAATCTTGGCATGTAGCCAAATTTTTTAAGTATTTTTTGTTTGTTAATTGAGAAAATCTGTGAAATACACTGACTTTTTGTTCCGTTTTTGCAGAGATTCCATGATGGACCCTGCAACTGTGTTTGGAATGCTTTTTGGCAGTGAATTTTTTGAAGAATATATTGGAAAACTAGCGCTAGCTTCTTTAGCATCTATAGAAATGGATGAAAATTCACAGGATCCTGAAGTTCAAAGGCAGAAAATTCAGGAAAAGATGAAGGTATTCTATTTTCTGTTGTGCTCTGTGACAGTTTTCTGAGCCCTTTGTATTATTCCCCTTCCTCATATTTGGGTAGCTGAAGCTGTTTCTTATTTTTATATCTGTAGGCATGGCAGAATGAAAGGGAGCAGAAGCTGACATCAATTCTGAAAGATCGCCTTCAACCATTTGTTGATGGGCGAGAAGATGAATTTACAGCATGGGCGAACTCAGAAGCATGTAATCTTTCACAAGCTGGTAAATTCTCTCTGTTTATAATGTTACTTTTAATAATGTATTATATAACTATCATCCATAATTTAGAAGTTTCAATAACTGAATATTTTCATTTTCAAGAATTTCAATTTAGATGTGTTCTAGAGTAGGGCATCATAACCTTTTCTTAGCACTATTTGAGGTTTTAATATATAAGGGCTTGAAATAAGTTCTCCTGGTTATGGATGCAATAGATGTTTTCCGGTTTGTTTGACAGAAATTTGAATTACAGGTGCAAAGTATTTTGTTTTTTCAGTTTTGAAACATAAATGGAATTATTTTAAGTAAAAATCTTATGTTCAATCGGGTGTAATTTAGAATCTTGCAGAATGCTTCAATGTGTAATTTAAATATCATTATTTCCCACTGAAGGAAAATGTCCAAATAATGTCTAATTGGTAAGTATATCATGCTACAACGTTATGAGTCTCTTCCTGGGTTTCTATAGCTATGACAGCTATTGTCAAATTCATGTAGGAGCAGTGTATTTACTCCTTGTTCTTTTCTTCCCCTGGAATCATGTTAACTCATTTTTACGTTATTTTCAGCTTTTGGAGAGGCCATGCTACACACAATTGGTTATATCTACACACGAAAAGCTGCAAAAGAACTTGGAAAGGATATACGATATATGAATGTTCCCTTTTTAGCAGAGTGGGTACGAGACAAAGGACACCGGATAAAATCACAAGTGACAGCAGCCTCAGGTAGTAGACTTTTTTTGGGTATATATCAGTTGAAAGGATGAGCATTTCTTAAATTTTGAAGGGTCAAATGGAACTTAACTTTTTATGTAGGAGCTGTGTCCCTAATTCAAATACAAGAAGAGCTGAAGAAGCTAAACCAAGGAGAAAACAAAGATGAAAACATAGTTAAAGCTATTGAAGATAAGAAGGATGCTATGCTTAATTCCCTGTGGCAAATCAACGTGATAGATATTGAATCAACTCTGTCACATGTCTGCCAAGCAGTAAGTTTATGTATTTACTTAATGTAGCTTGAAAGTAAGGTCTTGGCTTATAACACAAATTTTAGTCTTTCCCCCTACTTACCTGCTGTGCATGATTTGTTAATGTGCAGTTTTTTCGCCACCTTGGAAGAAATTTCACTTTTCTGACTTTTACCAACATTTTTTCTTCATTATTTTTTAACTATCCATTCACTGTTTAGACCATAACTAAGGCATTAATTCTAGAAATAACTTGGACCACAAGAGACTATCTTTTAGGTTTAATTTCACTTTTAATCTTTCTAATCTCTATTATGGTCAACTTGCCATTTTTATGCCTGAAGTTTTTAATTTTTCTATTGTTACAAGCAAGGTTTTCAACATAAAATTATTGAATTATTTTTTTTCCCTCAAAATTTCAATGAATCATCAAACTCTTTTAAACTCACCGATCAAAACATATTTTAATTAAAATTAAAAAATTCCAAATTTCCCCATTTTGAGACCTTAACCTCTCATCCTATAAATCCTCCCAAATTTCATCTAATTTTCAACTTTTAAACCTTTTCAGTCTTTTTCTTTTTCTTTTTTCAAATCTTCCTTAACCTCTAATTATTTAAATATTAAATAAGGATATGAAAGTTGTCAAGGAAAAGTGACAAAAAGGACTTGATTGTAATAGTTTCAAAAAGTAGGGACAAAATTTGAGTAAATATTATTGAGGGACTAAATTCCGCATTGATCATACCAGAGATATCAAAATACAATCAAGCCAATCTTTTAACTCATAAGACTAATGGTGGGCCATGAGCTATCCATGCATATTTACTTTACATAGACCCAGTTTTGGTTTGTTTCTGTAGAAGTATTTATAGGAGAAAAAAAATAGGAAGATAAAACAAATGAAATCATTCTCATAAGTTAAAATCAACTAATGCACTTTATATTTTAAAGAAATTAATTGAGAGAATTTCTAAAATTAAAAGAATATAAGTTGATTTTAATTTATGAGAAGGATTTTATTTGTTTTATCTCCATTTTTTTTTTGCTCTTATAAGTATTTATGCAAAAACTTAATAGTGGATCATATTAAAGTTAAATGCATACAATAAGATGGTGAATAAGTATAAAATTTATTTTGAAATATCCATTAATCACACAAGTTTTAAGAAAATGGTGTTGTTATTTCTCTCAGGTTCTTAGAGATCCTAGCGCCTCCAAAGATGTTCTGAGGTCTCGGGCTCATGCATTAAAAAAGTTAGGAACTATCTTTCAAGTAAGTGTTTGGTTTCTGATGTTTGGTGGATAAATAATCAGTTTATGTCACATGCTTGCACTTTGGTATCTAACTAAAGATGCTTCATTTTGCTTCTCAGGGTGCTAAGGCTGCTTACAGCAGAGAAAATAGCCTTCGCCGAGAAAGCAACAAATCAGTTGGTGGCACTTCCTCATCATAGAAATCATGTGAAAAAAGTTTGTTTGATATGTGGTTGTGTAGTGAGTTGTATTCTTGTGCCCTGTTTGGGGCTCTTGTGGATTTTGAACCTTGTCTAGTGCATTTAATAGGCATGGTATGTAATTTCACTCATGGATTCCACAAACATGCAGAGGTTTCCAGTTTGTAGTTTGTAAAGCAAGTGCCCTTCTCTTCGTAAGTACTACGGTATTTTTATTTTTATTTTGGGTGTTCAACGAAGTTTTCATCTTTCTATCCTAGATTTAGATTCTTAATTCCAAGGCGCGTAAAGATAGTGTGAGATAAGTTGATCTTGATCATAAAATCATAAATATTTAATATTATATTTTTAATGTGTGTGTGGGCTCTCTCTCTCTCTCTCTCTGCCAAATTTTATATCCCTAGAATGAAATTATAACAATTTATACACCGTTATTTTAATATTCAAAAAAGTTAAATTATATTCTTAATTATATTATTATTCAATCATGAATCCTTTGTAATAATTAATTTAAAAGTTTTTTTATTATGTTTTCTAATTATTTGACAATGTAAAAATATTTATGTGCAAACATAGAAAGGTGAAAAGTGTTGTGTCATGATAATTGGTCATTAAACTGAAAGAAAATTATGACGAACCTTCGATTCAACTTGATATTTGATTTGTTCCCCAAAATGTGCCACAACTATATGCCTAAACCTATGCACTTGAGGACAAAAGCACGATGAAGCCTCTCAAATAATTGCCCAAAAAGAAAGGACTAGGAGAGGAAGAAAGCAAGAAGTGGAGGAGATATATAACAAAGCAAGATGAGGCAAGTTTTTAAGTAATTCTATCGTAAAATGATCCACAATTTTATTTTACACATACTTAAGTGAGAAGACACCACTTTTTATTAAATGTCTATCAACATTATATCTCATGCACATGAGTCTTCTATTACCATTGTAGGCAATATTCTTTACTAAACCAATTGCAGCCCTTGAATAACAATCGATAGACATTGGAAGTGTAGGTCTCTCACAATGGTATATTAGTTATTTTGCCTATTGACCAACAAGTTGGAGCTATATTTTTTGATTCTATTATAGACTTGGTTTTACATATTTACTTTGTTGATATAGAGATAACACTACCTTTTAAAGTAAACACATATCCTCCAATAGTAAAATTTGTCTCATTATTATTTGAGACTTTATTTGTATTATAAAATCTAAAACAATTGGAAAGTTATCGACTAATTTCAATTTTCAAGCACTTTAGTAATGGCAAAAGGACATTTCAATTATTATTATCATGATTTTAAGGTCTAAGATACATAGCATTTTGTATTATTTTGGTATATTCAAATTGAAAAATATTAGTTTCACTATTTTTCATTAGATGAACACTTCCATCATTTGATCTTCTAACCAATGTCACATTAAAACTATTAAATTTTTATAATAATTTTTTACTGTAGTGAACTTGAACTAGAGGAGAATGAATTTTAGTTTTCTATATTTTAATTTAGCTTCTCTTGAGTCTTTTATTTTAAATTTAAAACTTAAAAATTCTTTAATTAACATGTCATTAACATATATATTGAAAAAATAATAAATTCTCTTTCAAAATTTTCTTTAGATAAAAAATATAAGATAGCCTAAGAAATGACATAAAACTATAAAATTAGAGAAAAAAATCAATAGTAATTATCTAGTGACAAAAAAAAAATTGCACTGCTAAATTTTTTTACAACACATTGACTTTTCTTTTAACCATTCCACAATCTCAATAAACTCACTCTTCAAAACAAATATTTAAACATCTTACAACACTCTAAGACATAAGTATAAAATAAAAAAGAAAGTTAGAAATAAGTTTAAAGTGTTTCAACTTGGTGCAACTTAAAACAAAAAACTTTTGATCAATATATAGTTTTGCTTTCTCTCTTCTTTTATAAACTCGAGCAATGTTTGACTTGTTCTAAGATATTTTATTTCAACTAACTCAATAATTTTTACATTGATTAAAATCTAACACATCTTTTGTTCTTATTGACAATCTTATTTCAAAAGAATAATCACACTCTATCATAGAAAACATGTTAGATATCTTACATTAATTTTAACCAATATTTGTATGCTATTATCACATACCTTGTATTAATACTAATAAATGCTCACATGTATCATCGCACACCTTGCATTAATATTAATCAATGCTCATGTACTATTACTACAAATCTTGTACTAATGCCAATCAATTTCTTGTACTATTACTAATATGCTAGCAATAACTTTTCATTTCTCATGATATTGCGATAATTCCATGATGATACATTACTTATATTTAGAGAAGATCGCTCTCTTCATAATGAGAAAGACATTGCTAGCATTTGACTTAAACTATTTTTCAATATTTCTCCACCTAAATAATTTAATACCATGTATAATTATAATTGTATCAACACATTTTATAACTTGTATTTGCCGTAAGTCAAGACTAATTCTTCTATCAAATTTCTCTATGCTAAACTTTATAGCACTTGAAAAAGTTGGCATTGCATATGTATGTAGATTAAACATGTTTAAGTATAAAGTCTTCCTTAACTAAAACTTTTTTAAAATAGCACTTATAATGTCACACTTCTTTTCTAATGTGAAAAATCAAACAATTTTGCAATCATAGAACATACTAAGAATAAGAATGTAATATGCCAATTGACCAGAAACTCTTAATACCATTGTTGGAAACAAACAATAGATTCTCCTTAAAAACTTCTTTAAGATAGAAAAATAAGATAACACAGTCATAATACAAGAATTAATGTAAAAACTCTAAAATTAAAAAAAGAAAAATCAAAGTCATTGTTTAATGACAATAAGAAAATAACACAACATAAACATTTCATAACACATTGACTTTTCTCTTAACTATCTCACATTTCCAATACACCTACACTCTTTAAAGTAAATATTTTACAATACTAAGATAGAAGTATATAAAATAAAAACATCATATACAAGTTTAAAGTATTTCTAACTAGTGTAGCTTAAAACAAAAGACTTAGATTCAATATATACTCTTAATCTCTCTCTTCTTTTATAAACATGTGCAATGTAAAACTTATTTTAAAATATTTTATTTCAACTAACTCCAACAAAATATGATAACATAATCATAGTTTATCATTTTTTTAATACATATATCAGTTTGAAATGTTTACCACCAAATCATATTTATCATTCATCTAGTAAAATTATTCATTCCATAATAGAAAATATATACCATTCATTTAGTAAAATTATGCTCACTAATTGTTGCAATTTTTAATACTCTTCAAAAAACTTTGAACCAGCAGGTAACTATACCCATTAATTATAGTATATGGAAGTGTTTTAAACCCTTTTAGTATCGTTCTCACAAAAATTATATTCATAATCACCTAGTACTAAGGTTTATTGAATGTTAAGCAATTCAAATATTAAAGTTTTGAGTTATTATTAACAACCTTAACAAATAATAAAGAAATAAGAAAAAACAAGAACCACAAAATAGAATATTTATGGATAAATGTTTAAGTCTTCATTTTCTCTTGTGTCTTCTTAAATATAACTGAATTTAAATTCACTCTATTGTATTGATGTAATTATCAATCATCTAATTAATATTTAATACTAATTAATAATCATAGAAAAGTGACAGTTTTCTTATCTGAATGTTATTTTAATGTTCATAAGAATTAACATACAAAAAAAGCATTAAGATGTGTTAGATCTATTAAACCTAATTAACTAATTAAAAGATTAGCAAAGATATTGATCTTCTTGTTCCTAATTTCAAATTATCCCTTAGATTTGTTACCTCATTAAAGATACAATAGTTTATCAATTGATTAGTTAGAAATTTAAATGGCCTTATCAAGAATTATATAAAAACAAAAGAATAATTTCGATTAGCATCTAACTTCAAGAAGGTATGTTAATTGAGCATGAGTCGCAATGATTTTACTATTTAACATAATTAACTTATTTTTGTCCTTGTATTTTTTTTATTTTGTTTTTCAATGTAGTCTTGGCCAATTATCAATACATCCTAAAGTAAGTATAAAGAAATTAATCAACATATAAGCATAAATTAATAAATCGAATAACTCAATTGGTTAAATAATTCTGCAATTTAAGTGACAATTGATGTTCTCAATGAAGCTTATTTATCTATTATTTATAGCTCATTTTTTATCATTAAAAAAAAGTTCAACAAAAAAGAAATTTTAAAACAATTCAAACATCAATCCATAGAATTATTCATTTGATCACGTTAATTATTCATTTATTGTTTTATATAAAAAGAGAAGGTACTAGAATACAATACAAATAACAAGTATTAGAATTAAAATTGACATCTTATTCATGATATTTTTTAATTGGTTGACAGTATAAATTTTTTTACATTAACAGCATACAAAAATTGAAGCGTTACTATATCTTCTTTTATTTTTCCATATATTTTGAAATTAATAATCAATGATTCTTATTATAAAGTTAGAAATTTCTTGTAATCAATTAGACTAAAGCATGCCACTTTTCATCATTTATTGTGAAAGTTATTTCCACAAAAACAAATATTTCTTCAAATGATTATAATTCAAACACAAGAAAAATAAATAAATATGATTAAAGACTTAATTAAATTTTGCAACGTCATAATGTTTATTTTTTCATTGAATTGAAAAAATATCATGATAATCATTTAGATATTATTCTTTTGTTGGAAATAATTAAGAACAAATCAGAAGGAGATTATTTTTCTTCCTATAAAAGTTTGTAATATCAAATAAATGAACTATTATGTCAAAATATATTTTTTCTTAAAAGAATTTCTCTACTTGACATAGTATTTAATCAATTTTTTTCTAAGAATCCAAGATTGTTACTCAACCAAAATCACATATAAGAAAGGTTATAGAAAAATGTGTAATTACTATTTTTTTTATTTAGAGACTTCAAGAATCATGAATTATTTAAATAAATTTTGTTTGTTAATACACAAATTTATTTTGACTATGTTTTTTTGGGGGGAAAAGTAATCTCTTTCATTAATGATACTCTTAAATTTAAAACATTAAATGAAAATGTAAGATATAATTACTTATTTAATATAGACTCGTTCGATTATAAGTCATTTAAGAATTATTTACTTTCATATTGTTGAAAAGGTGAGAGTGTTGTACTATAGTAATTGTTTTTAAAATAGTAGAAAATGGGATTGTTTTAGAATAGAAAACACGAAAATTAGAGTGTTGTACTACATTCTTTAAGATGTAGTTTTACTTATTTAAATATTTATTATTAAACTTATAAATAAATTTTTTCTCAAACTTATTGAAAAAATTTCTCTTTATTTTGTAAGTATTGAGACAATTACCATACTCACAATAATTTTTCTATCTTTTTGTTATTATTCAAATAAAAATGTCAAGAACATTATCGTTTTTTAATGTGTTAAAATTAATTACTGAACAAACTCCTTGATAAAATTATTAATTCAACAGAGTCAAATGAAATTTTCATAAAATATTGTCTCTTCCAAAAATTTTGGTCAAGCTTAAGCACTAACTTCATCCCTTAATCAACGGGTGGTGATATATTGAAGGCCCTAAAAGTTTCATGTTACACATTTGCTAATCATGGACACTTTTGTAAATGCATGAAAAAAAAAGTATGAAGTAGTTGATAATTACTTGATATAGAGTGAAGCAAATGTCAATGTGGCAAATTAAGTAATATATAGGTTATAACACAAGGTGGCAAAGTGGTTTTGCACCAAACCATAAAACAAAATTAAAAAACTAAAGTAACCCGATTAAAAATGCTAATCAATTAAACCAATCAATCTTAATAATATCTTATTGATCCAAATTGCAAATTACTTTTTACGTGTCACCGTTGAATTTCTCCTACTTGCATCTTTTTGTTGTGGGCTACTTGGTTCACCGTTTAAATGATCAACAACTCCATACCTACGTGGAAGATTTATAAAAATATTCCCATTTAAAGCAAACAACTAAACAAGTTGAGTCATGCATGCTGGATCAATGTTAATGGAAACACTCCACTAGTTACTGATCCATTCGATAAAATGAGTGACAGCAATAAAAGAAAAATGAAACTCGAAAAGATGTGAAGATACTTAGTGCTGCAATACATTTAGTGATGCCAAAATATGCACTCGATCCTCACAATACATAAAATATTTTGAATAAGTGATCAATGTCAAATTTTAATTTGCTCTGAAGTAGATGGCGTGGTATATGCACTTGAGGAGGGTTTGATTTATAAAGCCACGCTTTTGCTATCATAAATGGATGGTTTATAATGATGAGTACCGAAATGGCAAGCCAATCCACATATTTATTTCCTAATTAAATCACCAATCATACAATAGCATGCATGCAAAAACATATGCAGATAATTTGTTTTCACAAAAAGAGAAATGAAAAGGAATTTCCTAATACCAAATTAGCAATATTAATCTCGGTAAATTTTATACAACTATTAGGGTAGAGTACATTACATTCATTTATATCTTATAAATTTAAATCTTTACTTTTAAATTAAGAGAAATTCCATTTCACATTAAGTTTCATTATTTCTTAATTAATATCTAATTTTGAATTTTATTTATAATTTTTTATTGATTTTAAATATTATTATTTAAATTTAATTAATTATTATATTAATTTAATTTCAAATCTTAGTACACTATATCATATTAAAGATACTTTTTAAATAAAAAACTAAAATTATTGTAATTTTAATAAACATTAATTTAATTTAATTTTAAAATTGACACACCATATCAACAGAAATTTTGTATCTTAATTTTAATCATTTATCATCATAATTTCTTTCTCAATTTTAAATATCTTATTTCATTAATGTATTCCTACATAATAAAATAAAATAAAATATTTATTATTAATAATTAAAATATCAATTATTTTTAAATTTATTGTTATTATAAGTTATATTTAAATCTAAAAATAAACGTGCAGTATACAAAAACATTTTTAGTAATCTTTCAAACATAATAAGTGAGTTAGCCGTGAATTGTACGTGTATTTTAAACTTTAAAATTAATATAGTAAATATTTTTGTACTAACAATAAATGATATATTATATTAAATAATAATAAATTAAATAGATAAAACTCTTAAAAATGAAGATAAAATTATGAAAATAATTTTTTGAAATAAAGACATTATCTTTATTAATTCAATATGTCAAAATGTGAAAAAATAATTTTAAAATAAGATTGACTAATACTACAAATAATATTAAAATTTCATTTATCTAAAACAGAGAGTTTTTTTATACAGCGTATTAAAATTTAAAAATAAACTAATTTAAAAAAGTACTATTTAAAAGAAATAAAAATTATAAGTAAATAATAAAATTAAATACTCAATATAAATAAAGTCATGACTTAACAAAAATAAAAGTACTTTCAAAATCCTTTCTTTCAAGAATAAAAATTTACACTTATAACATAGGAGTGGACAGACACAATAAAATACCATTTTAAACTCTTATTTTTGTGTATGAAAAAAATAAACTAATTAAAGATTATTACATGACAAGTTGTTATGTTTCTTTATTCATGCCATAGCAATCCTAGTCCCTAATTCAGATGATGTGTTCTTTCAATTAGTCCTTCTGAGTTGACCAATTATTATCGCTAAAAGAGGTGGAGAAGAATCTTCTCAGAAGATAAAGCTTGACTTAATTAAGGGAGCTCATGAACATCCTAAAACCACTTTAAGAAAAGAAGTAGAAAAGATAAGAGTTTAAAATATTACAGTGCTCATCTTTATTCTCCACCAATGTCCTTTCATTGTATTTGGTGCATGTACTTGTCGTTAAGGATGATTAGAAGCACTTACAATTTACAAATACTATTTTATGCCAACCTAATATCACTTTTTTGCACACAACCTTTGGATCGACGTTCTTTTAATCCACGCATGCTTTCAAGCTTTCCATTTTAGCCCCTTCTAAAATTTGAGCTTATAAAACGTGGCCTATTGGATGAGATAATCAAATTCATATACACCATGACCAAGATCATGATTAATATTTATCGTATCAATCATTAGCTTATTGACCACTAATAATTTTTTTTTTTTCAAAAACAGGGTTCAGTAATTTTCAGACAGGAGTCATGATATTTAGTATAAGTCGAAAAGGTTACTAGGATTAATTAAGTTTTGGTCATGATTCTTGTTAAAATCAGTAGTTCCGGTGTATCGTTCTCAAATAATTTAGGCTGTATATTTTGCATCTGTGTAAGTAGATAATTTGGTTGATATTGTAATATTGTTTACGAGTTGAAATACTTTATATAATCTCATAAATAAAATTTTGCTGGGTCATAAAATAATACTCTTTTTTCAATCAGTTGAATACAAGTTACTTTTAAAGCATTTTAAGTTTAAGAAAAAGTATAAATATAGTATCAAATAAAAGTTTGGTAGGCTAGAAATTTTGTTTTGTTGTAAAGCATAGGGGTACCCCAATAATTTCCGCTAAGGTCTAATGTTAACTATTATCCTAATTAATATATGTCATTCCACTAACTTCTTAGACTTAGTGCCCCAACAAAAGCAAAGTGGTCTCCATACACCTTTTCTGTTTGAATATTTATATACTAAAGAGTGCAAAATGTTTTCTTACGCATTGAAACTGTCAACTTCAGTTTTTTCTTCAAAGGCTTCCCCTGTGGGGGAATTTATTGTTCCTTGCAATATAGATAGGAAACATCAGTTTCTGTGAACTTAAACGTAGTAAATACCAAGTTGCACAAATCATGGGTCTTATGTTTTTCAAGAAGTTCAGCCTCCTCTTTCTCCTCATTTTTGGATCACTTTTATCAACATCTTTTGCAGGTGGGTCTTTTTAGGTCTTCTTGTTGCAGCCTTTGGTTGCAACCTCACTCACACATGACATGTGTCAGAGATTATAACATGGCTAAAAATAAGAGCTTGAGTGCAAACATGAACACAAATCAGTATATATTTCATAGTTTAATTTCTTACAGTGTTTTATGTTATATTAAGTTTTATAACATCAATAACAACGATATACGGAAATCAATTTTAATTTAATGTGTATCTATCAAAGGTTCAAGCCTCTATTAGTGCATGGCATGTGATTAACTGGACAAACTTTATTCCTTGAAATTTAGCTTTTCATTATTATTATATATCATGTGTACAGTATTAACACGTATATATAATATGAAAACTATAAGCTATGAAATTGTTAGATGACAATAAAAGTTTGCCTTGTCTGTGCCTAATGCATATGTAGGTAGACGATCCAAGTTTATCCGGAACATCGCAAGAGATATGAATGCAATCCAAGAGGTATGCATGCATGACCGTGTAATCATGATCTATTATATAGCCTCACTTCCATTTAAGCATTTCCTCAGGTTGTTTGCCATATATGAACTAGTTTGCAAGAACAAAGTTACCCCTTCTCCTCTCACCCCTCTTCCACAGCATAGATATTAATTTGCTTTAATTTATATATTAAAAATTCTTGAATATTGGCTTCTTGAACATCACTATGGCTTGCTTTTTATGTATCTCTCTCTCTCTCTTATTCTTTTGAATCCTTGTAGTTGTACCTAACAAAATGGTGCAGAACTCATGAACTACCATCTACTGCGCCTTCTTATTTGAAAGTGCTCAATATGCACAGCATGTTCTTTGTTAATTTCCCACTTCTTTTTCATATTTATTTAATGTCCTTGAATTTGTTATTTTCCATATGAGTATGTGTGCATGGAGCATGTCAGACAAGAATGTGAGAAATAAAATTAGTTAATCTTATGATGGTATAATTATGTACATATAAATAATCTAGGTTAACTTTACTTCTTGTATTCAAGTTTGCCTTTATTTTTTGCTTTAATATTAAATTTACCTATAAAAAAAATGAAGATTAACTATTTTGCATTTCTCACATTCTCACCATCGTATTGGAAAGAAGGTATGATTTTCAAATTTTCATTTTTCTTTAACATGTCTATATATTTGAAGTTTGCTCTCAGATGCTATATTCATGCTTTGTTAATTTGGTAGGGAACACCAAGGAAGCCACTGAATAAGGAAGAAGTAAGAACTATCCACGAGAGGCTTCTTAGAGCTAACACAAAAGATTATGGACGATATGATCCATCGCCATCTCTTTCTAAGCCTCCTTTCAAGCTCATACCCAATTAACTTAACGTTCAATATGAATCAGAGAAGTTGATATTGGAATAAGTACCATAAATAATCCACTGCTTATCTTAACATTGTAATATACCTATGCCATATATATATATATATATATAGAAAAATAAATAGCGGCCATGTTTGGAACCCTAGTAATTTACTAAGATAAAAATATATAGATATTATAGAATGTACGTGTGTAACACATATTACTAGCTCAAGTTTTGTTGTGTCCATATACATAAATAGTTGCTTTTCCTAATGAAAATTTTGCATTAGTATGAACATGGATTTGTACAAATTAAATCAGAGTCCTTAAATTTGATTAGATTATTAGTAGTAGTAGTAGTAGTAACACCCCTTCTATCTTTCTCCTTTTTAACAGTATCCACGTAAATTCATACAACATAAACTCAACCTAAGTAACAATACCGCAAGGAAGACATATTAGTTTGAGATTTGAAAGAATAGATCAACTTTTGGGACGTTTAGAAAAAATTACAAGGAGTTTATGAGAACCTTATAATATATCCTATAAGTTACATATATTTTTAATTTATTTTCATAAGCTTCTTAAAATGATTTACCAAAATTATTTTTTAAATTATGTTGATAAATTTTCAATTAAATTTATACTACAAAAGTATTTGTAATAAAACATGATTAAATAAGTTTTTAATTAAATTATGTTTTATTGAATTAATTAAATTATTTATTCAAACAACCGTTACACACTTTTGAGGGGATTTTAGGTACCAAATAAAATGGCTCGACACGTTGTGACCTAGCCCAACATTGATCATTGTACCAGGAATGAATCCTTTTGTTATTTGCATTTTAATAAACTGAGCAAAATTAGCAAAAATAAATAAATAATAATAAAAAAAAAACTGAGCGAACATATAACTATGTTGAGTAGAATGGTTAAAAAAATCATTCCCTATAAATAAGATGAAATTCTTGGGACTTCTTCTTAAGTTAAAATAACATATTCACTTCAAATTTAGAGAAATTAAATAAAATAATTTCCAATAAAGTAAAGAAGCATAACATTGATTTTAACTTATAAGAAATATTTAATTCATTTTCCTTTTTTATTTTTTATCAAACAAGTACTTATTAAAATAAAACCCTAATCCGATTCAAATTACCAATATTGATTTGGATTTTTTTAAAAATACCAAAAATTCTAGTCAGCTATTTCAACTTTACTCCCATATTTAATTATAATTTATAGTAGTACCATTATTTCATAAATAGAAAGAGATGTTAATTTGAGTTAATCCGGCCCATTTGGGCGTGGCTGTTATAAAGCATCATCTTTTAGAGTTTAGTTGGGCCTTTGAACAAAAAGCATAAAGTTTTAGCTCAAAACTTTCCTAACCCAAGCCCAACTTTATAGCAAGTAATGGGCTAAACAGAGTAATCCATGACCATGAGTTCACTGCTTTATTTTTTTTTTCTCTTAAATTACGTTACAATCATATTAGGAATATAATATGAAACATATATATCAAGGATGTTCATATTATGCTTAACTTATTAATAAAAATCAAATTACAAAAGGAAATAATATTATTATTTAAAGTAAATTTTAATGTACTTTTTCTATTTAATCTTAATATATTTTGAATTTTAATTTAGTATTATTTAATATAATTAAATATTTATTATTAATAATTAAATATTTAATATTTTAAAATTTTATTAAGTTTAAAAAATTCATATAATATATCCTTAATTTTATTTAAAACTATTTTGATTTAATAATACGGGATGCAAAAAACTTACTAGTTTTTCAATGAAAGGATAGAATGATGTAATAAAAGTAGCTTCCATTAAAGGTAAGCTTTTTTAGATATTAATTGAATAAACATGAAATAATATCGGTAAACAAACAAATTTGATGTTCACTAACCTTCAATAAATTATTAGACATTCAGCATGTGTTTGAATGAAAATTTTTAAGAAGGTAATGTAATTTTTAAAATGATTTAAAATGTTTCATGTAAAATATTTTGTTTGGATATTAAATAAATAAATTTTATAAATTTTAAGTATTTTAAAAGGGTATTTTAAAATTTTAAATATTATTTTAATCTTCATACAAAATTTATTTTATTTTTATTTAATCTCTGTAAACGTAAATAAGTTTCAAAATAAATAAAAAAATAGTCCCTAACATTAACTTTTGTTACAGAACCATTTTTTTATATTTAAATATTTTTTGTTTTTATCTCTATATACAATACATTTTTTTTATTGTGGTTCTTATGCATAATATATTTTTTATTTTAGTCCTTATACAAAAAAATCCTATTATAAAGATAAAAAAAAGTTTCATAAAGAGAGAAAAAAAATCTGTATAGAGGTTAAAATAAAAGTTACTATCAAATATAAGTTAAAAAAAATATTATAATGATCCAGGATAAACTATAAAAGATTATTTAATGATTTTAAACAATGTAATTATAGCTTAACGTGAATATAGAAATTATTATGAGAAGATGATATTTGAAATTTAATTACAAAAAAATTACTTTTATTCATTATAAAATTACAAGAAGAGAATGCAAATTAATGTTTAAAAATCAAAGCAACATTTTTTTTTTCACTTGAGGGAGTAGTAGCAATCTATTTTTTTAGTTTTACTTTTTATCATATAAGTTAAATTGTATAATTGATTATGCTCATACTTATAAAAATAATCATGGTGAAGTACTTATTGGTGAAAATTATCTAAAGTATTTAAGTACTGCATAATCATGAAATAATCTTTCAAAATCATTAAGGATATAATTCTAAAATATTTCTTTACCAAACTCTCAAACATCAACTCTCATAACAATTTTTATAATTATTTATTAAATTACAATTGCATTATGTAAAATTAATAAATCACTTTTTATAACCTATCATGCATTGTCTAGTTCAATGATAAATTTTATTTTGGCCTCTATACATAACATTCTTTCTATTCTAGTTCTCATATAACACATTTTTTTCATTATTGTCTTTACCTGTAATACATTCTTTTATTTAATTCCTATAGTTTACTCTCTTTTTTTTTTCATAAGGAATAGAATGAAACATGTGTTATGCATAAGAATTATAATATAAAAATATGTTATGTAAAGACTAAAATAAAAATATTTAAATACAAAAAAATAACGTTATACGAATGTTAATAATAAAAACTATTTTGATAACTTTTTTATTTAAAGACTTATTATAAAGTCTTTTTTATATAGAGACTAAATAAAAAAACAAGTTTCAAGTAAGAATTAAAATAGTATTTAAAACATTTTCTTAATTAGTAAGAGTGAATTTAAATTATTTTTTGAAAGAGAAAATTCTAAAAATTTTCTCAAAATATTTCTAGTTTCTCTCACACACTATCGTCTTATCTCTCATTGATACTTCAATTCTAAATCATGTCTCCCTCCACCAAAAATGTTAAATACGTCACTCCTATTATAATTCTTTTTATTCAATGTAATTATTCATGTTTAAAATTGAAAAAAAAATCCTTACACACAAAAATCACAATTCCACAAAATTGAATAATATAATGCAGCAACGTTAAGATCGAGAAAGCAACTTGCATTATATTATACTAATTCCTTAACTGTGGTAAACTTTATACAAATAATCATCTAAACAATTAATTTTGTGAATAACAAAGTTTAGATTGTGTAAATTTAATTTCTTATATTTTCAATTTATTAAAATTTTAAAATTATTCATCCAAACACATCATAAATAATTAAAATCCAACTTTGTAGACATTTTTTAAAACTAAAAAGTAATTTAACATATATAGTATAACACTAATAGTAGTCCAAATTTGTTAGATTTAAAGTCATTTAGAACTTTAAATATGGAATCTAGGAAATATTCCTTACCCTTTCCATTATAAGTAGATGTTCCACTAGATCTAGGAGTCTTAGGTTTCTTAGCTAGTATCTATGAGTCAAATTTACCTTAATCCTTAATATACTTATTTGTCTAAATATTATAACTATCTTGTTCAAGATCGACAAAAAAAACTAACAAACCCCTCTTCCTTATTGATCCTAGAGATACACTGAAATCATGATCAATTTTATCTAAGGAGATTGTAACTTTATCTAAACAAGCCTCTATTCTATGTCCATACTTACCACAATCAAAATAAAATTAGATATAGGAATTAATTTTTTATTTAAGTCTAATTCGATACGAATTCTAGCAAATTTACCTCTAGACAAAAGGGAGATGTGGAGATTAATCTTTAGCATTATCCTCAAGAAGGCACCTACCTGCCATAAGAATTTTCTGTTGTACAATTCTAAGAAAGGTTAGGAATTCTAATCTAGTCCGTTATTTTCCTAAGATTATATTCCTTAGGTCTAAATATGGGTCTCCAATGTTGAACAAGAAGATAATAATATAAAACCATCCATGGCCTTTCAAATAAAGCAATTTTATAGTTCTCAAGACTCTTAAATTTAACAAGAAAAAAAAATATTATTCAAATCCAGAATTTTAAGATTCTCATTTTCTCCCTAAATGTTATTCAACTTTTGGTTAAGAAAATTAAAACTTATTGATTTACCTAACATTTTAACTATTAGGGTTAATTTCTAAGGAGTGTACCAAGATTCGTAGTCTTCTGGGGAAATCTTGAGTTGAGGGCATAAGTTTTGAACCTGTTTATTGTCACTAATCCTATTATGTTCAATTTCTTTAGGATCCAGAGAGAAATATTAAGTTCTTTCAACACTAATTTGATTATTATGGCTAAGTTCAGGGTAATGTTTCAGCAATAGTCCTTAAGTTCTAAATGACTTTTAATCTAACAAATTTGGACTACTATTAGTGTTATACTATATATTATCCTGAATTTTTTCCCTCCCTTTAAGTACTCAGATAGGCAAAGACTTTCTGCTATTATATCTTTAGATGATGTCAAATCTTCCCTGTTTAGTATTGTTAGCTACCTTAGTGTCCTTATTCTTCATACC